TAGAACTTCACACAATTATTTATAGTCATCCAATACTTCATATATTATAAAATTTCTTATTGTATTTTATGTTAATATACAAACATTTGGAAATCCTAACATTAAAATTTGGAAATCTTGACATTTTAAAATTAATAATTTATATTAATAACGGTCTTTATTCTATTTTATGTTAATATACAGAACTTTGGAAATCCAGGCATTTAAATTTGGAAGTCTTAACAATTTAAAAACTAATAATTTATATTAATAATTTGCTTTATTCCATTTTATGTTAACATAGATAAATTTGGAAATCCTAACATTTAAATTTGTAAATCTTAACATTTTAAAACTAATAATTTATATTAACAACCTAATTTATTAGATAATATAATTTTTAATTAAACTAATTTGGAAACAATGATATTTAAAAAAAATTAAATTAAATTTATTTTATTTTTGTAAGATGATTTTTGTTACTTATACTATTTTACCATTATATTATTATTTTATTTTTGTATAAATAAACTTTATATTTAATATATCTAAAAAGACAATAATGGTTTGTAAATATTTTTTTTTGATTTCCATTTTTATAACAGTTAACATTTTTAAGTAAGTTGTAAAATTTTAATATTTTTTTTTAGTTAAATTATATATGGAATATTAATTTCGTTTTAATATAATTTTGAAACATTGACATTTTCTAAAAATGATACTTTACATTTAGTATATCTAAAAATAAAATAATTTTTTGTTAATATTACGTTTTATTTTTGATTTTCCATTTTTTTTATAACAGTTAACATTTTTATGTAATTTTTAAAATGTTAATAATTATTTTTGTTAGGTAAATTATATATGGAATATTAATTTCGTTTTTAATATAATTTGGAAACAATGAAATTTTATAAAAATAATAAACTAATATAATGATGTGTCATTATACGATTGGATGACTTAAATCCTATGTGGACGTTCTCAATGGCTTATAGTCTCAACTTTTATATAGTTTATATTAACAACCTAATTTATTAGATAATATAATTTTTAATTAAACTAATTTGGAAACAATGATATTTAAAAAAAAAAAAAAAATTATTTTATTTTTGTAAGATTATTTTTGTTACTTATACTATTTTACCATTATATTATAATTTTATTTTTGTATAAAATAAACTTTATATTTAATATATCTAAAAAGACAATAATGTTTTGTCAATATTTTTTTTTGATTTCCATTTTTATAACAGTTAACATTTTTAAGTAAGTTGTAAAATTTTAATATTTTTTTTAGTTAAATTATATATGGGATATTAATTTCGTTTTAATATAATTTTGAAACATTGACATTTTCTAAAAATGATACTTTACATTTAGTATATCTAAAAATAAAATAATGTTTTGTTAATATTACGTTTTATTTTTGATTTTCCATTTTTTTATAACAGTTAACATTTTATGTAATTTGTAAAATGTTAATAATTATTTTTGTTAGGTAAATTATATATGGAATATTAATTTCGTTTTTAATATAATTTGGAAACAATGACATTTTCTAAAAATAATAAACTAAAATAATGATGTGTCATTATACGATTGGAGGACTTAAATCCTACGTGGACGTCCTCAATGGCTTATAGCCTCAACTTTTATATAGTATAGATTATGTATAACCAGCTGATCCAGTAATTCACCTGAAACGAAACTGTGAACAAGTACAACAAAAACACAAGATATATATATTAATTGATACTAGGCTACTTACTAGCTAATAGGAGCGTATAACCTTTGATAAATATGTAACACTTGGCCATCATGGGGATTATAAAATATCAATATAAGTTTCAGAACATGTTGATATCTATCTATATATGATTAAACCCTCATTAATAAGGGTTTAATGCAAGACGTCTTCGTGAAGGCAACGGCACATTTCAAGAAGATAATTGTAAATTAACATTGGGCCAAAAGAAAACTTTGTAAGTTTCATATATTATTACGAAGAGATGAATTACCGTGAGAATCCAGTGTTTTCGTTTCGTGTATGTTACATGGAATTTATGAACTTAAACTTACCATAAATATCATAGTTTTCATAATATTTGCCATTTGGTATGTAAAAAAGAGAGAGAAAAGGTTCACTTTTGGCACGAATGTCAAGACGAGAGGGTTAAGTCAAACAAGGGAACTTTTTTTTGGTCAAACAAGGGAACTTGAATTGTGGATTTGGTGCTGGACCATCACGTGCTTCTCTCCACGGTCTTTCAGGATTCTGCTACTTCATCCGCACGTGCTGGTACTCCTCTCTACGTGCCGTTTCCTCTGTTATCTTCTCTTTTGTGTTCCAATTCTTATTAATTGTTCATTTTTGTCAAAAGCTCAAAATCTTTATATGTATGTGTTTGTATATTGGACTTTTATGCTCCAACATAGACGATTTCTTTATCATGAAATCATATTCACAATTTTGACTAGATCTTCCATAGGGACATAACTTTTTGTTCATATATGTACATGATTCTTTGATGGAAAGTGGGGTCTGACATATAAAAACGTGAACTCTTCTATTTAGAGAACAATAAGCTTGTGTGAATAATATAAATTTTATGTTCCAACTCTGAACCAATATATGAAACGTGTTACATAATTACAATATATAATAAATTTGTGTAGCAAAATGCTAAGAAATAACTAACACGTCAGTGGAAATGCACTATAATATTCACTCAATCATGTCGTAAAGCTATCATTTTAATGTTTATCTCACAATTTAATTAATTTGGGGAACATATTTGAGCTAACGTCTATGTTAGTTGTACTGATTTATAAACAAATAGTAGCATTAAGACTTGGTTAAACAAATTCTGTTGAAATTGCACTGAAATTGATGCAATAAAAAAAGTAAATGGGTGCATAATTCAAGGTACGATACATCATTTGTATACGCAACATTTGACTGCAAATTGAGGGTATAGAAGCTTCAATTCTTGTTTTGTTTGTCATTGGGATACATAAACCAGATTTTCAATTATAATACATATACCATGTATTTACTAGTAGTAATAATCTGTATTTATTAACCGGATTCTACTTGTTTTCAAAGCAAATATTAGCCAGTCTTATAAAGAAACAGCTGTAATGCATGGTGATCAAGACTAATCCTCATAATTATCTTCACGCCATACACACAAAAAAATAAAAAGTGTATTTCTCTAGTATATATATCATATATAAACATATTTTATACAGTTACTTGTATATATACATCTGACTAATACAAAATACATATTAAAGAATATATATATATATATATATATATATATATATATATATATATATATTGTAAGAGTAGATACAATATTGATTGGAAAATTTTAGTCCAAATAGAGAAAAGAAACTGATTGGGAAATGAAATCTACTGTTAAAGAAAAAGTAGGCTAGAAAATGTTAATGTTAAATAAAAAGTAAGAATGGAACATTAATTTATAACATATATATAATACCACAAAACAATTCAGTATGCCGTATGGTGGTGAATCTGCAATATTATTTGCCCACAAGTTAGAGATGAAATCTATTTTTAGATGTATATATAGATTGAGATTTATAACAAGAAAATGTTATAATAATTGCCGATACAATAAAGTAGTTCTCATATATTTCTGTGACCAGCATTGGTATATTAAACTGTGGCACTAATCCATTAAATTGGTATATCACTCTCTCTCATCTCTCTATCTCAAAGAATAAGAAAGAGAGATATATAGAAACCCTAAACATCGTCGTGCCCTTGAAGCTAAGATATCTTCAGTTTTGTAGACATTCATTTTGATTGCTTATTTGCCTTCTCTCTTTCATTGTCTTCTACATCTTGCCTCTAACAGAAGCAATACTTTCCGGCCTCCAAGGTTCGTTTTCTTTCCTCTTCCGTCATATATCTTTCATTGTTATCATCATCAACATTTCATATAGATATATGTATATATATATGCAGTCACTCACACAACCTCGTATATATATGTGTAGTTTTCACTTCAAGCATCTTTCTATTTTCACTTCTTTTCTTTGATTATATCATCAAAACTTCCTTGTTCAAGAAGAGCGACTGTTCAGTTTCCAACAAACGTCATGTTTCTTTTGGGATATTCAAGTTATTTAATTTTCGTGGATACCTATGTAAGAAAGATTCAGCTTCTCTGTTAGTGAAAAAAGTTGTTCGTTCCTTATGAATATGTGCATGCATGATGAACTAGGGTTTTCTTGTTTTTTTTAGATCTAAACAATGCACGCCTTGATAATTTCTTAGATTCTTACATGGTGATTAGTTACAACCCATTCTTTGGTCATCTATTTTGCCTTATTTTGATGTATTTTTTGTTACTGGTTATATACAAATGATTAGGGAAAAGGACTAAAGGGAAGGTATTTGATTTGCTTAAAAAGAGAAGCGGATAATGGAGACAGGGTCGTCGTCCACGGTGGCCGGAGGAGGACAACTCTCGGTGCCTCCCGGTTTTCGGTTTCATCCAACGGAGGAGGAGCTTCTATACTATTACCTCAAGAAGAAGGTTTCTTATGAACCAATTGATTTAGATGTTATTAGAGAAGTTGATCTCAACAAGCTTGAACCTTGGGAACTTAAAGGTAAAACTTCCAATCCACTTATAATTAACTCTTTTAGTCTTTAATAACTACAGATTTCACCACCTAACCCACACACTAAATGACATATTGTTTAACATTTACCAGTATACTATATATAGGCTACCACAATTAACACTATAGTTTTCTAATTAATTTATATATTATACGAGGAATTACATTGTTGTCTCTGCACAAAACTACAAGTTAGATGTCAAAGGACAAATACATAGATTGGGTAACATTGTCTAGGGTTTTTGTCTGCGTCTCCATGGAAACATGTATCTACTTGTATAATGTCTTTATTATAAGTTTTATCAGTTCTCATCCTGATGAATTATTTTCCAGTTTTTATGGATCCAAGAAGCTTTATACGCGTGTATGTTTATATATACATCAAGAAAGAAACAAAGTTTTCTATCAACTCATGTCTTTTAGATTAGTAACAGAAGACAAAGTGTAATGTCTTGTAGTATATGACTAAGAATATTTGACATAATATTATTATGTACCCTCGAAATAAGCCAATGGTTTTTCACATTGTAGACATATAACAAACCCGTCGCCGTAAGCTAAATTAAATTTTGGTATTTTCTTACATTTCATAAATAAAAAACTTTGTTTTTTGTATCTATGTAGAGAAATGCAGGATCGGGTCGGGTCCTCAAAACGAGTGGTACTTCTTTAGTCACAAGGACAAGAAGTATCCGACTGGGACCCGAACGAACCGGGCCACTGCAGCCGGGTTCTGGAAGGCTACTGGTAGAGACAAGTCCATACATCTCAACAGCTCCAAGAAGATTGGACTTCGTAAGACTCTTGTCTTCTACACTGGTCGTGCTCCTCATGGCAACAAAACTGAATGGATCATGCATGAATATCGCCTAGACGATAACGAAAACGAAATACAAGTACGTTAATAACTTAATATATATATATCACATTACATTTTTATTAATACATAGACCATATTATATATGAGTAATGTGGACTAATTATATGTGTAATTTGTAGGAAGATGGGTGGGTTGTATGCAGAGTGTTCAAGAAGAAGAATCATTTCAGAGGATTTCACCAAGAACAAGATCAAGATCATCAATACATAAGAACCAACAATGATCATGATCACTACCATCATCACCATCACACTGAATCCAACTCCAACAATCATTCTTCTTTGTTTCAACATTCTCTGGATCATCATCAAATGGGAAGACAGGTCCACATGCCACTACATGAGTTTGCAAACACTTTAAGCCACGGGTCAATGAACCTCCCTCAGCTCTTTAGCCCTGACTCGGCCCAACCGTTTGTGTCGTCAATCAACACAACAGACATTGAATGCTCACAGAATCTACTGAGGCTGACTTCTAACAACAACTATGGTGGAGACTGGTCGTTTCTTGACAAGCTTCTCACCACAAACAACATGAATCAGCAACAGCAAGTGCAGAACCATCAAGCAAAATGTTTTGGTGACTCGGGTAACAACGAGCAGGCTGTTGTTACTCATGACAATGGTGGTTCTTCTTCATCTCCAGATAATCAAAGGTTCCCATTTCACTATCTGGGGAACGATGCTAATCCTCTCAAGTTCCCAAAGTAGACTAATCAAGTTTGATGAGTCTCATGTTTTTCAGTTTTACTCTCTTCTTTAATCTGTGGAAGTTGTCACAGAAACAAAGTAACTGTTCTTGAAATCTGTTTTTGTTCTTTCTTTAATTCTGTCTTTCATTATTGATGTACTGTTCTGTCCCTCCGAGGATTAGTACCTCCTAATCACAAAAGTACAAATGTTAAGTACTTTTTCACCATTACAAAAGTAGTTTCCACTATACGTGTCCAATACCTTTTTCTTAATTTACGTTGTCAAAAATAGTCTGAGGAAAAAAAAACAATATATGATGAATTAAGTATTTTATTTATTTCCGTGTGTTTTATATAATCTTGACGGCATGCGTTGAAAAAGTGCTTCATTTTTTTTTTTTTTCTGACGGTGTGTTTTGCTGGTCCAAACACAAAAGAAATCAAATCGTTTATTAAGAGCGGTGGCCGACCAAATTACTTTACTTGTATTTTTTTGTTTGTTTGCTAAGGAATTACTTTACTTCTAAATTGTAACATATTTAAAAGTAACAATAGAAGTTATCTTGGATTGCATTAATAAAATGTACTTGTTGTACCCTTACTAGTAGTCCATTCAACTATAGTTTTTCATGCGTATTCAAAAATTGTAAGACATCTATTTTCTCAAAAATGCGAGTTCAGATGCAAGATATTGTGATATATCATGCTGGTGGACATAATGATAAGAAATAGATTGCTTTTTGATTCAAGAAACAGGTGAACATTAAGTTGAAGAGGGCGTTGATCACTTGGTATGCAGCAAGAAGTCTAAGCTAAGTGAAGGAAACATAAATTTTGTTTTATTTCTTTCAAATTAAGATTTTTTAAAAAGAACACTTCAAAGTAAGATCCACTTGATTGAATAAACTTTACGAGTTAAAAAAGGGATATATCATGCTAGTTTTAGGTCGAAATAACATTTCTATTGTCAACCAAACCTATAGTTATCTTTCTTTTCAAGACTTCTTCCAAGTTCTAAACATTTTTTAGCATTCAAAACAAATAAAACGGTGGACCGACCACAGTTTGTTTTATATATGATGGGCCCAATCATTGCCGCCCCATATTGGCGTAAGGCGCTTTTGAAGTTGGTCTCCACCACAAAGCCTCAAATAAAATAGTTGTTTTTGGAATGTTATATTTTGTGGAATCAACAAAACGTTACTATTACTTAGGAAAATGAGATGAGAAAGGAGTTAACTGATTCTTTTCAATGTTGGAAGTTAAAAGTCAACCTCTTTTTATTTTTTTGGGTTGCCAATAGTGATTTTGAATCTTGGCCATGTTCATTATTTGATATCTCTGTTGGTAAGGAAGATTTGGTATTTAATGCAAACTATAGAGTATATAGTAGTACTATACCATAAAGGTCGAAAGCTCAATCACATACTTTTTGTACATGCCACAGTCATCACGAAGATAAGACAAAATCTTGACCGTAAATGTCTTAGATTACACGCCCATTCTCTAATGAGATTTTATAGAAGATGAGATCCAAGATTTGAGCTTATCAACATAAAACGAATCCAGCCAAAATGTCAACTAAACGAAACGAATTTAGTAATTTGTGAAACTTGTAAGGGTACTTTCACTAATTTAAAACTCATTTTGACCAGATTTGATTTTCTCTTTTTTTTTTTAAACATTTATTTATAAGCTTCACAAACTAAAACTTCTTTTTTGGTAGCCGACGACAAAATTGGTTTAATTGTTTTTCTTTAAAATATTAAAAGTAGGGTTTTTGTTTTATTAATCTCTTCATCCTTCCTTTTGGCTTTGTACTGATGAAACAGAAGCTAACAAGAGACGATATCTTTTCTGGTTCGCTTAGTTCTTCTTAAGGCTTAATCGCTAGTTGTTACGTTCGAGAAGATTCTGCTTTGGTACTCTTCCTTCTTGTTCGAATCGTTACTGAAGCGTTAGATTTTTTTTTTTTTTTTTTTTTTTAAAAGCTATTCTGTAAAGTTGTGATATTTGCAGAATCGTTGTATCGGCTGATTTAGGGTTTTTAGGGCTTAGTGTCTTGGGTTAGTTCGAAATCAGTTTCCTTTTGCTTAAGAATCTTGTTTTAGAGAATCTTGTTTTGATTCGATACTCTTTTTTATTTTTATTTTTTGAGATAAATTCGATAGATTTCTGGAATATTCGATGCATGTTTATCTCCATCACCTTTCTATCTTGCCATTGGGACTAAAACCTCTTTCTTTTTTTTTTATTGCAGCTTAATCATCGCCACAAGGAGCACTGAATCAGTCTTCTCTGTCTTAAGTAGCTAAGTGGTGGTTCTGTAGTATTCAACTATGTCAGATTAGTGTTTCAATTAGAGAGATTTCTGAAGTTTGTGTTGTTGTAATGGATAAACCTAGACATCAGCAGCTTTTCCAGCACTCTATGGAACATGGATACCTAAACAACGACACTGTTCCTCAACAAGGGAGCACGAATGCTAATTTTCGACCTCCCAATCCAAATGCTTCTGATGCTAAACCGGTGCATAACTACTCCATACAGACAGGGGAGGAGTTTTCTCTTGAGTTTATGCGTGAACGGGTGATTCCTCAGAGGTCTTCCAACCCTAATGGAGCTTCGGACATGAGCCCTAATACCACAGGTTATATGGAGTTTAGAGATCTGCTAGGGATAGGCCGCACAGGCTCTGACTGTGCTTCAGATGTCTCTAGGGTGAGTGTTGCGGAGAATGGCTTGAGGGATTATGACAGAACAAACCCTTCGCTTCATGAGTTTGGTAATAAGCTTGGTCATGTCCAGTCAGCACCGCAAGCTTTGATTAGTAAGGATAGAAGTGTAGGAAATTTAAATGGATACGGATCTTTTTCAGGCTCTGGTAGTGTAACAGCGAAAGTGAAGATACTTTGTAGCTTTGGTGGGAAGATACTTCCACGTCCAGGTGATTCGAAGCTTAGGTATGTTGGAGGTGAGACACACATTATTTCTGTGAGGAAGGACATATCTTGGCTGGCTCTTAAGCAAAAGATCCTTGAGATCTATTACCAGACTCATGTTGTCAAGTATCAGCTTCCTGGTGAAGATCTTGATGCTTTGGTTTCTGTATCATGTGAAGAAGATCTCCAGAATATGTTTGAAGAGTATTATGAGATGGAAAACCGTGGGGGCTCTCAAAAGCTTAGGATGTTTCTGTTTTCTGTCAACGATCTGGATGATGATGCTATATTGGGGGTTAATAGAAATGATGGTGACTCTGAGTTCCAGTATGTTGTGGCTGTGAATGGTATGGACATTGGACCAGGAAGGAACTCAATCCTTCATGGGCGAGATAGCTCGTCAGCAAACAACTTAGCTGCGCTTGATAACAACGAGGGGATCAATAACATTACTGGAGATGTTGTTGGAGTTAGCACACCGCAGTTGATGGCAAATGGCTTCCAGCAATCCTCTGGTCAACAGTCTGAGTCTATTCCACCAAGCGTATCGCTTCATTATTCTCAATCTATTCCACCCAGTGCTTCATATCAGTTGCAGCAACCTGTTCCGCCAAGTTCTGCTCTTCATTATTCCCAGTCCATTCCACCGAGCTCCTCGATTCAGTATCCCCAGTCCATTACTCCAGACTCCTCATTTCAGTATCCCCAATCTATCACTCCAGACTCTTCTTTTCAGTATCCACAATCCATCACACCGGGGTCTGCCAGCTCCTATGGAATATTCCCACCGTATTATGGGCACGTGGTTCAACATGGAGAACGAGAGCAGTTTCCTTTGTATGCTCACAATTCTAACTACTCCGGTATGACGGAAACTACTGGTTCCATACCTTTCCAAGGGCATGTCAATCAGCAAGGTGGCTGGTCTGAAGGGTATTCGTACCCTGGCACTACACCACAAAGCACGCAAGCCATAGTAGAGGAGCAAAAGGTATCACCTGATACAAAAGTTCATGAGCATGCTGAGACTGAAAAGCTCAAAATTTTGGCAAAGGATCACCAGAGTACTCCTCAGTTAGATGATGTTGAGGTGAAGAATCACAATCAGCAGGTTCAGGAGGTGTCAGCAGCAACAACTAGACCTAACCAGGAGGCACATTTACTTCCTCCCCGAGGAGACACACGGCATAACGCTCCTGCAAAGCCTGCTACTTACCGTGATGCTGTCATTACTGGACAGGTTCCTCCATCTGGTAATGAAGATCAGCTTTCAACTTCAGGTGGTACCTGTGGTCCTGTTCATAACGACTCTGACTCAAATCTAATTGATCTGAACTATCCGGAGCCTGTGCAGCCTCCACCGAGGGTATATCGCTCAGAGAGAATACCTCGTGAACAGTTAGAATTGCTAAATCGCTTATCGAAATCTGATGACTCTCTAGGCTCTCATTTCCTAATGTCTCAGTCACAAACTAGCAATGCACAGCAAGATGGAGCAAACGAAGCAGTTGTAAAGTCACACGAAGATTCCCAACCTGTTAATGGTGATGCTACCCACCAGAAGCATAAAAATGTGGAGACAATCTTTGGAAAAGTGGGGCTATCAGATGATACGTTGGACTCCGGGCCCCTGCGTCCTGATGATGCAAACAAGAACAGAGAATTCAATGGGACAGATACTGAGATTGATGTTTCCAACTCGAGCCATCTAAACGCAGGCATGGATCATGTTATTCATGAAGAGCAAGCTTCCACTCACCGTTCTGATTCGCTGCAGGGAGATATTCTGATCGATATCAATGACCGGTTTCCTCGTGACTTCCTTTCTGAAATATTTTCAAAAGCAATCTCAGAGGATACGTCTGCTGTCCATCCATTTCCTCACGATGGAGCTGCTATTAGCATGAATGTACAGAATAATGATCCTAAAAATTGGTCGTATTTTCAGCAGCTGGCTGAACAACAGTTTATCCAGAGAGATGTTACCAGTATTGACCAAGCTGATTCTCACTTTCCATCTCACGTCCCACCATTGAGTAGAGATGGTAATTCAACAAACCTTGCGGATCCTCAGTTGACTTTAGGTCGAGATTATGGGGATGATTTTTCTGAAAGGAACGGGGGTGGCACTAGCACTATTCTCCCTACTCCAGAGGATGATCAGATGAAGGTCACAGAGAGCGAAGAATTTGGTGCTATGGTGGAGAATCTGAGGACGTCAGATTCTGAACCAAAGGTACGAGTTAGTAACAGTTTTATTTATTTTATAATCCCCAAAAACACAAGTTTCACTAAGGAGGATGGAACTTATAGGATAAAAAGACAGAAACAAGGCATGCTGCACTTCCTCCACTTGGATCAGAGTCTGACTACGATAGCTTGCAGGTATGAAAAGCTCTGAAAAATACACCTTATAAAACATTTACTAGCTTGCGTGGGAATTGACCCATGTCAGTATAGTTTCAGATTTGTTATTTGAATCAGCATTACGTCTAACCCTTGACTTCCATAATAGCGTGCTTACATTTGGTTTCTTATTTTTATTTTTTTTTGTCTTGTTTCATTTCCTGGAACTTCTGTCAAACATTTCCCTGCTTCTATCCCCCGTGTTTCTACTGAGTCGTTTTTTATGTTTTGCTTACGTAATTAATAATAAACTCTTAAATATCACTAGATCATTAAGAATGAAGATCTTGAGGAGCTGAAAGAGCTTGGTTCTGGTACTTTTGGAACGGTGTATCATGGAAAATGGAGAGGATCAGATGTTGCTATCAAGAGGATCAAGAAGAGTTGCTTTTCTGGGCGGTCATCAGAGCAAGAGAGATTGGTGAGTTCTTTGTAGATCATGTCGTATGCATTCTTCTTTTGGTGATGCTAACAATTTATGGCAGATGTTATTTTCCACATTGCTTTGGTTAATGTATAACTGGTTTTGCTGCAGACTGGTGAATTCTGGGGGGAGGCTGATATTCTTTCAAAACTCCATCATCCGAATGTGGTAGCATTTTATGGGGTTGTAAAAGACGGGCCTGGGGGGACATTGGCGACCGTGACAGAGTACATGGTTGATGGTTCTCTACGGCATGTTCTTGTCCGCAGAGACAGGTAAAGTTATGCATACGAGGTTTTTTGATATCAGTATGATGGGTTCCAGTTCATTTAACTTATGCACTCTTCTCTTCTATTTACATGACCAGGCATCTTGATCGTCGTAAGAAACTTATCATTGCCATGGATGCTGCATTTGGAATGGAATATTTGCACTCCAAAAATATTGTTCACTTCGATTTGAAATGTGACAATCTACTTGTGAACTTGAAAGATCCTTCTCGTCCAATCTGCAAGGTAACACGATATGGGTAGACCTTTCTGTAGAAATTTTCATGTTTATAAGATGCCGTTACAACAAATCAGATTAATATCCATGTGCTAATCCACCTCAGGTTGGTGACTTTGGTTTGTCAAAAATCAAGAGAAATACATTGGTATCTGGTGGCGTACGTGGAACCTTACCATGGATGGCACCAGAGCTTCTAAATGGGAGCAGCAGCAAAGTTTCAGAAAAGGTAAAACATTCATGATATAATGCCAATGAATGTCCAATAGCTACTTTGACTTCAAGAATTATGAGTCGCCTATTGTCTCGTTTAAGAATTAATTGAGATAGATAGAGTATATGTTTAGATTCTTGTAAAGAGGGATCTTATGCTATATTACATGGCGTCATAGTATATTCTGACTGAGAATGCAAACAAACTATGAGATCTATTATAGGGTTAATCCTTCATTTTGTTGTTGTGTTTACCGGCAGGTTGATGTTTTCTCTTTTGGTATTGTTCTTTGGGAGATTCTGACCGGAGAGGAACCATATGCCAATATGCACTATGGGCTCATAATAGGTGTCATGCCTGTTCCTTCTTTAATTCATGTTTCAGAATGTCGTCGGTATGAGATTTGAATGGATGATGATTTGATTGTGAAAAATGCAGGTGGGATAGTGAGCAACTCACTGAGGCCAACCATACCAGCTCTCTGTGACGATGAATGGAGAACACTGATGGAGGAATGTTGGGCGCCAAACCCAACGGCAAGACCATCTTTCACAGAGATAGCTGGCCGCTTACGAGTGATGTCATCTGCAGCGTCTTCAACCCAGTCCAAGCCACCAACTCACAGAGCGTCCAGATGAGAGAACCAACCTCTGTATTTATGTGTGCAGTGGAAAAGTGGAAGTTAACAATTCTTTTATATTTTTCTCCGCTCTATATACTTCAGTGTTTGGGGTTGAGGAGAGCTATTTCTTGACTCCTGTTATCTTTGACAAAAAATACTAGAAAAAATAAATTTATATCATTGTTTCGTCTGTGTTGAATACACCATTATCAGCCTTTTACATACTGTTTCATGTTTAACTTCACCAGTAACAATATATCACAATGGCATCAAATACAAACATAAGCATTGTACACAAGTTTTGGACAATTCGGTGTATGAGAGGACCGCCTTTGTGGTAGTGACAGGAGAAGAGTAAAAGCTTCTTTCTAGCTTCTGTGGAGTGGTGCAGGACGTAAATCAACTGGCTGATAGCTCACTCGATCTTTGTGAGGCAAAGGTTCCTCCTGAAATGTTTTTTTTTTGCCAATTAAAATCACGATTGATGTCAGATAACGTTTCTAGACTTCAATTGGGAAGTGGATAAATAAATAATAAGCTTACCTCGTCTGCGTTTATCTGGAATGGTTTCACAAAATCCTCAAACATTAAAGGAGAAAGACCCTTCATTTTCTCTTCTACTTCCTACAAGATGAAAGGCAAACTTCTTAGTCTGAGAGTATTTGTGCACATAGATTAAGTTCACTTTCGTGATTAAAGGTTTTATAAGGTGTACCAATCCAGTTATTCTTGATCGTTCCAGTAACTCTTTTGTGATCAAATCCAGAATGTGTCTGTTTTCTCTAAGAGCATTCATCGCAAGTTCTTCAGTCTCCTCAATATACTGTCACCAACCATTTTATATATTTTAAGCTTTGATCCACATGAGAGGGTTATAAAGAAGATTTGGTATGCTGAGTCAAATAAAGAGTACCCTTGTCAACTCGCGGGTGAATAGCTCGGATACTTCAACAGACATATCTGCTGGCATTACATGAGGATGGTCCCACTGAAAATCATCATGAAGCAGAGTAAGACACGATGAACTACTGAGGAAATCAGAGATCAATGCAAATGGGGAAGTAGTAGTTTGTGATGAATGGATATACCCGGTATTTAATCAGCTCGCCGTCTGGATTATCCGGCAAGTCCATCATTCCAATCTTTTTTACCAGTTGAGTGAGACCTAGTTTTGCATTTTGGGGGCTAATCACCATTTCTCTGGCAATCTGGAAAATAGAATATCAGATTCACACTTGACGAAAAATCACAACTCCACAGCACTTTGCAGATATAAGCAGTTACATAGAGCAAGAGATAAAAAGATAGACTTTACTTACTTTTGTTATCTTCTCCAAGTCATCTTTTCCTCCATCAGTGACATCATCCCCATAAACCACACGTTCAGCACATCGTCCACCATGAGCTACCACCATTTGCATCTTCATGTAACCGAATGTTGTATAACCTTGGTCTACCATGTCTTCCCGTGGATAGAACACCGACACAGCAGTTTCCTGTAAAATTTAATAAAAAGCTGATTCAATCCATTCTTACACTGAGTTGGCAAATATTTATATTCAAGGTTCTGAAATGTACCTTGCCACCAGGAAGGAGCTGAGAAAACGCATGCCAGTCAAACCGAGGAAACAAATGAGCCAACACTACATGACCAGCCTCATGAACAGCCAGAAGTCTCTTCTTTTCATAAGATACCTAACGTTACAATATCATTCCCCAGTAAGAACCTTTTAGCTCTATTGTATAGAATGATGTGAGATAAAGAATAAGAAGGATGTCTATACGTACACTTTGTTCACATTTCTGTTGCTCTTCCTCTGTAAGAAGTACACCCATACCTTCGAGTAACTGTTTATCTAACACATCAACAATGTCTTGCTGATATATATATGAACGTCCCTTCCTTACCTGTGAAATTGAGTTAGGATCCTTAGAAATCATCAAGAACTCTTCTCTAGATACTGTTTTATTCTGTTGGGAAATTGAGATACAAAGACGAATGACATACCGACATTATGGCTGCTTCATTAACAAGATTCCGGATATCTGCCCCAGAGAACCCAACTGTCCGGAAAACAAGCTGCATGTAGAAAATGGAGAAGAGTATTTATGAATGAGCAAACACCTATCTCAGACATACTATCAAGATTACAAAATAGCAGGAAAAGTTCTTACCTTCCCAAAGTCTATATCTTCAGCAAGGTTCTTCCCGGCGCTGTGAACTCCAAATATTTGCACCCTTTGCTTCGCATCAGGCAAACCAATATACAGCCGACGGTCAATACGTCCAGAGCGGACAAACTCAAGGTCGAGTTCATCAGGTCTATTGGTAGCACAGATAAATATCACAGCTTGTCTCAAGGAAAACCTATCAATACCTGTCTTTTCCTTCCTGCATGCGGTACAATTTAAACGTATGAGAACCTTAATGCATATCCCATAAACCTTCACAAAGTGGGGAAGGAACCAAGGAATAATATATCATAAAAGTCAGATAAATCCAGATGACAAATAACATCCATCTCACTACAACTTCTGAGCAAGTGTAGAGTCTTACTCTCCATCAAGCTGTGCAATTAAAGCTTCAAAAGTTGCTCGTCTTCGTGGATCTTTCCTAGCATGCCTACCAGCAATAGCATCAATTTCATCCACAAACACAAAAGCAGGTGCCTGGAGATAACATATAAAATCAGATCCACAATTATAGTGTGATTGTGTGAGTAGAAGACAGCAATACCAAATGAGAGCTTACATTTCGTCTCGCTACTGAAAACATCTCATTGATCTTTGCAGCACCACTTTTTTCACTGTCTGTGAACTCCGCACCAGACGCAAACACAAATGGTAGCCCACTTTCCTTTGCTAGTGTTCGCGCAAAAAGTGTTTTTCCAGTCCCAGGAGGTCCAGAAAGAAGCACACCCTGACTCAAAAATGAAAAACAGAATGAGAACTTAAGCTAGTCGGTTAGTAGAATAAACCACTATTAACATGTCAGTTTCGGTCAAGATGTATCTTACCCTGACAAAGGGCACTTCTTTTTCATAATACTGCATTGGGTTTCCCATGTAGATCATTAGCTCATCAAGAAGATCCCAAACATCACCACCTAGTACCACTTCCTTATACATTGATTTTGTCTCACTGACATCTCCAACCGGCTGGATGAAAATTAGAACTTATCAATAGAAGTGTGAACATGTTTAAAGAAGGTCATAACAACAAAGAAGCAATTTTTGTTCTTGAGTGTGTAATGATTACCAGTATAAAATTTTCCGCATAAGCCATATCAAACAGCTGATTATACTTCTTGTATAGAAACCGCTTTGATGTGATGAGGAGAAGCATGGCAGATTCTCTTATAAACCATAGAATTAGTAACCCAGGGAGAAGTGCAATGAACACTTTCATGAAGTAGTGGATTTGCCTTTTCTGAAGGAGATCCACCTCAACTCCGGAGTTAGAGATAGTCTCAAACAAGTACGGATCCAACGGAATGTCAACCTAGAAAACGAATATTACGAAATGGTGAATGTACATCATTTAGTTTCAATACTTGCAGCTATGTTTTTATTACTTACAATATATTCTAGAGGGAAACCTTCTTTCATCGTCACATACAATCTCTTCAGATCTTCCGTGAAGACAACAGCTGCAACCTGTTAAAAACACACACACAGTGATATCAACATAAGCTCAAGAACGAAGAAGTCAAATATATATCATCCTATTGTGTCCAGCTTCAAAATAATTGCTTTGAAAAAGAAAAAAATATTCATCATATTTTGTTCCACAATGAATACACAATTTGTTCCCAGTTAAGAAAACTCAACTGGATGTAATGACATACCACTCACAATCCCAAATCTGAACAAGAGTAGAGGTTAGAGATATACCTCCGAAGAATCAAGCTTCTGAAGAAAATAGGTATAAGGAAGCTTAGGGCGATATCGCCACCATCTCTTTGATATCCAGAGAGCTCTAGTTCCCTCAGTTTCAGAGGTCTTTTCAACGACATCTTTCCGAAGACTTTTCTCTACCTCTTTCAAATCAAATTCAACAACATACGTAGCCCTTGAGGAGTTTAACTGCTCTGATATTTTTTCTCTTTCCAACATTTCCTTCCAGGTTGCAAGCCTTTCCCGCCATGTACCTACACTTTCTCCAGTTTCACCTATCACAGAAAGATGCAACAAAGAGATTAGATGGTCAAAAGCAAGACTACCAATGCCTCCGTCTAAATTTTTATACACTGACCAGAGACACCCAAATCTTGGCTTAGTTTCTTCTTTGCCTCAGTCTGGATCCTCGCATTTCTGTCAATGATTTTCTTGAGAGACCCCTCTGTTGTCTCTAATTCATCATCCCACGCATTTTCTCCAACGTAAGAACTATCGTGGACAAGTGTTCCATCAGGAGCCTCAATGAACCTTTTTAGTTTCAAGCCTTTAGGTGTTGTCTTCCTCCACATATTCCTCTTAAACCTGAAACGCTAGGAAAAAAAAAATCAGAACATAGACATACTAGCAAGTCGTCCACTTAACACAACATGCTTTATTCTTCCCACTCTTGATGCTTTAGATGCATTCATAGCTCAGCACGTACTTGTTTAAAGGTAATACCATTGTTTAAACGTGAACCAAATTTTACCATGTTCTATTTAAAAACTACAACTTGTAAACTGAGGATTAGAAAGCACGCACTTATCTACATTATCAGGAGATGGCTCGGGGATCAAAGCCTCCATAAAAGACTCTGTTAACTCTCTTCTTTCGCGTTCTATCCGAGGAGCTTGAACAGCAACATAAACTCCTCGACAAGAAAACAACACCGCAAAAGCATATATCATCAAAGCAGCAACTCGTCTACCGTCCCAATTCTTGATGTCCTGTTACAAACAAAACACCTTCCATCATTAAGAAGCTACAAGTAGTACTTAAAAGGTCCAAAACTCCACAAATACACCCAAAAAAAAGCTCTCAGTTTCTTGAGTTCTAGTAAATGGTGTTTGAATTTTGATTAACAAGCTGAGGAGCTTACCTTCCAGTGCTCCCATTTGTTCCAATCAACAAAAGATGGAACTAACTCAGTCCTAAACCGAGTCAACTCGTCCTGACCCTTCTTCACGCTATCCTTAACACGACCCACATACTCATCAACTCTCGCACCTGCTTCTTCCGAGTCAAACCCAGTTTCCTTCTTCACAGACTCTCCAATCTTCTCCCCAATCCGCTCCACGCCAACACGGAGAGACTGCGTCAATCTCAGCCATGAAAAACCTCCTCCGTTGTTATTAGAGGAAGACCCATTACTACTTTCAGACGCGTATACACGAAAAATCGGATTTTTGCGGGTAACTCGGTGTCCGTACTTTGCGGGAAACCGAACAAGACAGGAACTTTTAGGTCTTTTGAGTAAGTTGGTCGGTGAAGAGATGAGAGGGTTCGGTTTATACGGAATCGCAATCTCCATTGACGAAAATCTCAAATTCAATTGAGAAAAACCACAAACATTTGGGATTTCCGGTTAATGAGCTCTCTATCTCTCTCTCTCTCTGCTGAAACAACGGAAGAAAAAAAAGACACAGTCTCGAATCTCCGGCAAGACTGGCGCTTCTCTCCGGCAAGGAGGTTTATCTACTAACACTGCGCTTAGTTCGAACGAAGAAAGATGATGCTAGACTAAAAGAGGCTTGAGCTTTATTAAGGTCCATTTATATTTTTGGCCCAATATACGGAAATTTAATTACAAATGGACTAGGCCCATTAATTTCTCTCAGCCCATTATTTATGACACGTAGACAGCCGTGGGTCCCAAGGAGAGATATAGTGGCGAAAAACCGTAATTAACAACTTAGTCGTCACGGGCCCACCCTTTTTTTGGGTGTTGTCCACGCAGCTTTTATAAACAGTCTCGTCTTCTCGAAAGAACCCACCAACTCTTTTATCTCAGCCACTACATCGGCAGCTTCGGTCGTCTCTCATTGCATCACACTCAATGTGAGTATATTCTCTAGCTTGTGCTCTTTAGATTATATATCTGTTGTACCATTTTGTTTGATTTCTCCGTCAGATTCTCATATTCGCGGTTTGCATATTGCAGTATTTACTATGGCGACGAAGAGAAGCGTTGGAACATTGAAGGAAGCGGATCTGAAAGGAAAGAGCGTGTTCGTGAGAGTTGATCTCAACGTTCCTTTGGACGATAACTCTAACATCACCGATGACACTAGGATTCGTGCCGCTGTTCCCACCATCAAGTACTTGATGGAAAACGGTTCTAGGGTTGTTCTCTGCAGTCACTTGGTATGCACATCTCGTTCTTTTCACCTCACATACTAACTGATTTTCGGTTTTGTTGTAAACTGGTTGTTTAGCTCGTTTGTTTTTTTATTAGAGATTTCTTACATGATAGTTTATGTCTTGTGTGACTCATTTGGTTAATTATATAGTCCATGTATTTGGAACATTTTTATTCAGTTGTGTTATGGCGTGTTACTGTCGTTTAAGTTCATGAAAGAAAGAATGATTGGATAATTCATCACATATGATAATTCATCACATATGTACATGTCTTCGCTGTCTTAGATGATAAATTTATGCCTTGTCTGAACCATTTGTGTAAGTTTGCATCAGCATGTGCTTTGTAATTGTTCTTGGAACATTGCCCATCACTGATGAGTCATCAGTTATATTATGTCTTAGTAGTAGCGTGTTACGTTCGTTTAAGTTCTTGTTTTAGTGACTGTTGGATGTATCTGATCTCAGTTATATGTTTCAGGGTCGCCCCAAAGGTGTTACCCTTAAATTCAGCTTAAAGCCGCTTGTGCCAAGATTGTCTGAGCTTCTTGGTGTAGAGGTTTGTGCCTCTTGTTCCTCTTTTCTTGCTAAGTTTCATGAACTGTACTGTGAGTTAACATGGTGTTGTGTTAATAGGTTGTGATGGCAAACGACTCTATTGGTGAGGAAGTCCAGAAGTTGGTTGCGGAACTACCTGAAGGTGGTGTTCTTCTCTTGGAGAACGTAAGGTTCTACAAGGAAGAAGAGAAGAACGACCCTGAATTCGCAAAGAAGCTTGCTTCCCTTGCAGATGTCTATGTTAACGATGCTTTTGGAACTGCTCATAGAGCTCATGCTTCCACTGAAGGAGTTGCCAAATACTTGAAACCTTCAGTCGCTGGTTTCCTCATGCAGAAGGAGCTTGATTACCTTGTCGGAGCTGTAGCAAACCCCAAGAAGCCTTTTGCTGCCATCGTTGGAGGTTCAAAGGTTTCGACGAAGATTGGTGTCATTGAGTCATTATTGTCCACCGTTGACATTCTCTTGCTCGGTGGAGGTATGATTTATACTTTCTACAAGGCGCAAGGATACTCTGTTGGATCTTCTCTTTTGGAAGAGGACAAGCTTGACTTGGCTAGGTCACTCATGGAGAAGGCAAAAGCTAAAGGTGTCTCTCTTTTGCTCCCAACCGATGTGGTTATTGCTGATAAGTTCGCTCCTGATGCTAACAGCAAGGTAACAGTTTGTGTCTGAACAAAAAAAAAATGTGTGTCTGATCTAAGTGTGTTTAAAGCTTGAGACACTAGTGAACTCTGTGCAGATAGTGCCAGCCACGGGAATTCCAGATGGTTGGATGGGACTTGATATTGGTCCAGACTCCATCAAGACATTCAGTGAAGCTCTGGATACAACTAAGACCATCATCTGGAATGGTCCCATGGGTGTTTTTGAATTTGAAAAGTTTGCAGCTGGAACTGAGGTATGTGCAACTAATACTGTTACTTTAAATTCATCGTATATATTAACATTTATCGCCCCAAATCACATGACCATCAACACATAAACCTAAGTTTTATCAGACCAGGGATCTACAACATGTTTGTTAACTGAAGAGACCATGTATCTCGTGTCTTGTTTTATCACCAGGCCGTGGCAAAGCAGCTTGCGGAGCTGAGCGGAAAGGGAGTGACGACAATCATAGGAGGAGGTGACTCTGTTGCTGCCGTTGAGAAGGTAGGTTTGGCTGACAAGATGAGTCACATCTCTACGGGAGGTGGTGCAAGTTTGGAGCTTCTAGAGGGAAAGCCACTTCCAGGAGTCCTCGCTCTTGACGACGCTTGAGAATCTTCCAAGTTTCATCTCTCTCGTGTCGTTATATATGTAACAAGGCGTCTGGTTTTCTTATATGACCAGATGAGCATGCCATTGTTCTTGTTAGCTTAAAAGTTCTTCTGCCTGCTGCTGCTTTTGGAGTTTTTGTTAGTTTGGAGCCTTTTTAATACTAACAAAGAGATAAACTTGAATTGTATATCCTTCCGATCTAAACCATTTATCAGATGCTTTTAGCTTGTTGATTGTTATATGCTGGATGATTATCTTGTTTCTTTCTCTTGGCTACAAATATTGGATGAAACAATTAAGAAAAATTGCTGGCAAAGACAAAGTAACAGTAAACAGATTAACCAAAAAACAGTAAATTTGAATCGAATTGGTAAAAGAGAAAGGCTAATCAGAACGGCTCACAAGTAATCTTGTTCTTTCTCGGCCCAGTTATCATTAAGTTTTGTCTATTTTTGTCCCACATCGAATAAAATCAAACCTATACGTCAAAGGATTCACCTATAGAAACATCTGATGCTTCACAGAGTTGATTCATGGAGCCATGTAGTGAGCACAAAGCGAACTATTCTTTCGCCTTTTACTAAAGAATACCGTGTGCTCTCTATTCTAAATGGCATACACCTATTTTTGGAGGAGTTAACTTCAATCTGAAGTTTTACTCCATCAATCTCCTTAGTTCAATTATTTTTGCAATAAAATGGATTGGACTGTACTTATATTAATGTTTCTAACCGGAAATGGGACTGTAAATGGATAGTCTATACCGTTTATTTGTACCATAACAAAGATTTTTTTTTTTTTTTTTTTTTTTTTTACCATAACAAAGGTTCATTACACTATTTTCAAAACTCAGAGTTTGCTCTGATGGCAGATAACCACCCTTGACGATCAACAGAAAACCAGACGTTAAAACAGGAACGACATAAAGCAGGTTATTTGTAAAAAAATATGGTGCTATGTAAATATGCTTTGAGTGCATTAGTTATAGAGTCGTTCTTGATGTTTTCATAACAGTACACTTTGATTTGTTCTGTAAGAGTTAGTCTATTTTGAAATAAAGAGCAAGACTGTCTGGATCTCTTGCTTAGTTTCGAAATGTCTGAATCTCCTAATTATACACAGCTTGTCTGTAGGATAATGCGATTCATGAAACCCTGATGAAACAAATAGTCATCAATTGGTTTATGAGATATTTGCTTGGTTATGATAGTTGTTTGTTCCCTCTTTTGATTCTTCGTACTTTTGTCAGATATATGCTTGGACCATAAAGCCAGGTTGATATATGATGAGAAATATGGTCCATTGTCAGTTTTGAAAAAGCTTCCTGAAGTTGACATCACCAAGATCTGGAAAAGGGGCTTTGTTCGGCCCAGATCCGTCTGATGTGGCGTCACCAAGGGCTTTTCGCAATGCCAAACACAACAAAAGAACTTCAAATATCACAGGAGACCGACGAATCAAATAATACACGTGTCTTTTTGTAATACTTCCAAATAATATCTGTTGTTTTTTTTAATAAGGTGGGCCGCACCAGAGATTCGTTAAGGCAACAGAGTGTCGTCTCTGCACAGTAGTCAGTCGTTGGGCACATTAAAAAAATATTATTGATAAGAAAAAACTGCGTTGAGATGACGAAAAGAGTGCAATTCTTTGCGTTTTAAATAAGGAAAAAAAAGGAGAAAACACTGCGAATAATTTGGATTCTTTATCACGTTTTTATTTATATTTTGGGGGGTTTTGGCTCTACACCTACTCCAAGAAGCCATCGAAAGTGTTGTTTTAGGGTTTTTTCTTTGACCAGTAGCGAGAGATCTCTTCATTTTTTTACAATGGCTTCCTCTTCTCTCCTCAGATCCGCCGCCGCCGCTGCTCCTCGCGCTGACCTTTTCTCCTCGTCGCCTTCGTGTGATCATTCTAAGGTTAAATACGACGCTTTGCCTCTTACTGGTGATACTAATTTAGATTCTCCCTCGATTCGATTTCGCTTTAGCTTAGTTCCTGCTTTAGATCTGCTTGAATTTCGTCTTTACTGTGGATACTTTTGGACGAAGAAGTGGTTTCGTGTGATATGTGTTTTCTATAGTGGCGACGTTACTCATGTTCTCGTATGCTAGGTTCGTTGAAATGGCCTGTGGTTTTTAATTTTACTTGTTAGATTTAACAAATATCTGGGAACTAGATAAAATGAAGTTTTTTTATTTGATTTATTCCTTTTTGTCTTTAAATACTCAGGTGCCTTCAAGTCTTGGATTCAGTCACAGCTTCACATCACGTAGATTTTCTGGTGCTGCCGTTGCTATTGGTTCATCATCATCTCTACAGTTCTGTGCCAAAACTCTGTTACTCCATTTTAATTTGTCTAAATGAGTTTTCAATTCTTATCAAGTTTTTTTCTGTATATGTTCAAATGTATAGGAAATGCAATGCAAGAAGTGTGCAGCCCATCAAGGCCACTGCTACTCAAGTGCCAGCTGCAGCTCAAAGTAATTAAGAATATATATTAGATTAGTGGATGTGTTTGTTGCTGTGTGCTTATTGGTGAATTTTTTTGTTTGATTGGTTTGAGTAGGGTCAAGTAGCACCGGAAAGACAAAGGTTGGGATCAACGGTTTTGGTCGGATTGGAAGGTTGGTCCTCCGCATTGCGACATCCAGGGATGATATTGAGGTTGTGGCAGTTAATGACCCTTTCATTGATGCCAAGTACATGGTAAGCATGTCTTCAAATTCTAGCTGGTTGTTTTTTTATCAGGCTATATTTCGAAACGCTGTTTATGCTCTGTTCTTAATCTGAGTTTCTCTCTTGCTTGCTTGAATCCGGTAAAGTTTGAGAAAACCTGGAATTATATGTTAAGTCTCAAGTCTTCTTTTCTGATGAACATATAACTGGGTTTTCAAGTTTGATGAGGTCTTATGTCTCCTGTTTCACAGGCTTACATGTTGAGGTATGATTCTACTCATGGAAATTTCAAGGGAACCATCAATGTCATTGATGATTCTACTTTGGAGATTAATGGGAAGAAGGTCAATGTTGTCAGCAAGAGGTATCTCTTTAATGTGGCATGTTGTTTTCTGCAGATCAGAGAACAGGCTATCTCAGTTTAGAACATAACATATTTTTTGTAACTCTTTCTCAGAGATCCAGCTGAGATCCCTTGGGCTGATCTTGGAGCTGATTATGTTGTTGAGTCTTCAGGTGTATTCACCACCCTCTCAAAGGCTGCATCCCATCTTAAGGTGCATTTTTCATACAAACATACGTTGACCTCGTAACTTGTGATAACATTTAATGCAAACAGCATTTCTTTTTAAATGACATATGTTTTTGCTTGATATTTGGTTTTGCAGGGTGGTGCAAAGAAAGTGATAATCTCTGCCCCTTCAGCTGATGCACCCATGTTTGTTGTTGGAGTAAATGAGAAGACATACCTACCAAACATGGATATAGTCTCCAATGCAAGTTGTACCACCAATTGTCTTGCACCGGTTGCTAAGGTTGGTAATGTTGCACCATAATCTTCTCCCTCGTGCGTGCTTATCTTTTACCCGTAAGTCATTTAGCCTCACTAAAGTCAACTTAACTGTTTTTGGCAGGTGGTCCATGAGGAATTTGGCATTCTTGAAGGCTTGATGACAACTGTCCACGCAACCACTGGTCTATATCTCTTGCTCTCCTGATTTGCATCGCTGTACATTACTAACCTGATAGCACTAACCTATGTGTTTTCGCTGTCTTTTCTTTCCACATATAGCTACTCAGAAGACTGTTGACGGGCCATCAATGAAGGACTGGAGAGGAGGCCGGGGAGCTAGCCAGAACATCATTCCTAGCTCAACCGGTGCTGCAAAGGTACAACCATTTATTTATCCTAATTCTGGAACCATATCTGAGCCGTGGTTTTTCTGGTCGAAACAGGCTGTAGGTAAAGTTCTGCCAGAACTTAACGGGAAACTTACGGGAATGGCATTCCGTGTACCAACACCAAATGTTTCCGTTGTGGATTTAACTGTTCGACTTGAGAAAGGTGCCTCTTATGAAGATGTTAAAGCGGCCATTAAGTATGCTTTCTCGTCAATATTATTGTTTCCGGAGTTAGTGTACAGTTCGTGCTTATCTCTCATGGTTTGATGTAAATCTCTAACAGGTTTGCCTCAGAAGGATCTTTAAAAGGCATTTTAGGGTATACAGATGAAGATGTTGTCTCAAATGATTTCGTCGGTGATTCAAGGTTTCTCTTCTTTTCTTCAGAACCATCTGAATCTTTGCTTTGTGGTTAACTGACCAATGTGATGACTTCGATCATGTTATAACAGGTCGAGTATCTTTGACGCCAATGCCGGGATTGGATTGAGCAAGTCCTTTGTGAAACTTGTCTCTTGGTACGACAATGAATGGGGTTACAGGTACAGTTCTCGTTTCTCATCTCAATCAGATATATCCACCAAATCTCAAACACTTACAGTTGGTCTCTCATTTTACTTACAGCAACCGAGTGCTTGACCTTATAGAGCACATGGCTTTGGTAGCAGCTAGCCGCTAAACACACACACACACACGGTTCTTCCAGAAGCTTGAGACTTTCTACGTTTTTGTGTTCGGTTTGGATTGGTTTGGTTCTATTAGATGCTAGATCTTTAATGAGGTTTGGTTTGAATAACGAGCCTTGCTTATTTTTGGTTCTCATTTCAGTATCTTTCACTCTACGGGAACATAGAATTGGTCTAAAAGACAAAACGATCGACTCAATAAGATATTTGTTGTACTTTACCAAATTTAAGCTTATCTGTAGCATAAGCAACAATTGTTTTGGAGCTTCTTTAGAAATCACTTACCAGTTACCACTTCACATTAGAACCTACAAGTTTAAAACATGAAAACTGAAACTGAATTAACCAGACTTGTATCCAAGCGCCTTATCTATCCCTAGTTTATGTTCGTCATCTACCTCCCTTTCAGGAAAAATCTTACTCGGCTTCGCAAATTTACATGAACATTTTACAGTGCCAAAAGGGTTTTTGCAGTGTATTTTCGAATATAACTAGGCCCAATTAATTTTGCATGTTTATACATAGGAAGCATTTAGCCTATCATTTATAGCCCATTTCAGTCCGCTTTGAATATATTACAGGCCCATGTTCTGCTTGTTTAGGGTTTCTTGTAAACCTAGCAGCATATTCGCTATATAAGCCGCCTTTTCCCATTAATTCATACATCAAACAAGAGTGTTCATTCGTTTTTATTGGTTTCATTCATGTCTCTTTTAGATTCTCTGCAACTTTATGGTTTTATGTAGATCCAAGTCAGTGATGTATGAGATTGTCCGTACCATCTGAGATTTCTCGTTGACGAGTTGTATCCTCTAGTTTCTGAGGCTTTTGGATCTATGTTTACAAATTCTTGTTTTTTTTTTAAGTAGAACATTAGGCGTTGATGATGAAAAAAGATTACCATCAAACTATGAGAGATTCACAGCTCGTTGATGCATACTTCTTTATATTATCTGAGCCTAGTTTTTTTGCTTTATGACGTGATCTGTTCTGTCTTGTTTTGTCTTGAAAGATTACATTTAAACCCAAAGGCAACAAATTAGAGTCGCTGGTACACTCTTAACAATAGTGTATTAAGCGCTGTTCGTTGCCGAAACTGAATTAGGCTGATATTCTGGTACGTGTTCTAGTTTAAATAGTTCATGTGCATTCAAAAAGCCTTACATTTGTCGATGATTCTTATACCAATTTATTTCATAGTCTTAGTGTACGTGAAGGCAACAATTTAGAGTCTCTGATTCACTTCTTGATAGTGGATAAAGCGCTGTACGTTGCCGATATTGACTTGGGTTCAATTATCTATCCATTGGCTTCAAATATGTTTTGGCTAATACGATCATTGTCCCCTATATTCTATCCTCTACTTAATATGAGATTTACTTCAGAACTTTACACTTACCGCCTTGTTGTTGACTCACTTTACTCATCTGACGAACCTTGGTACCAGTTACTAATTGAGATACATGATGGACTTCAAAACGAAAACATATACATTAGTCGATGAATTAAATTGTGGTGAAAACCATACGCTTTCGTGGAATTATTAGTTGACGGAACCTCAAAAGTACGTTGTTTGAAAATCTACACAATCACGCTAGCAAATTACTCAAAAGGATATTATGAGACAAAATTTGGACAATCTTCAAAATATAAAGTTTCTCAGAGTTAGTGTTTTTTGAAAAGTGATTAATAATTTCAAGTTATAATTTGTGTACACACAAAACCTCAAAATTAGCTAAATACTCTAAATTTCACCCCACGATGTATTTGTTCATAGACACTCAACTTGTCTCATGTGATAATTTCATCAATTTTTTTTAGTTTTTAAGCTAATTCACTCTCAATTTTTTATAATTTCTATTTTTTTTAGTTTTTAAGCTAATTCACACTCAATTTTTTATAAAGAAATTAGTTTGAATAAATATTGAATTTTTTAAAAAAGAATTCAAAAACTCTGAATGTTCTTCAAATTATCATAAAATTTATAACAAATCTTTTTACAGTTTACTTAAATTTTGGATTTTTTTGGATATACTCAAAATGTTGAATTCTCTTTAATCCATCTAATTTTCTTAACTAGTTGCATACTCCCCGCACAAGCGCGAGGTCGAGTTCATTGTGTTTACGTGTATTTTTTTCGATTGTTGGTTTATTGGGTTCTTCTAGCGACACCAAATAACAAAGAAATAGAAAGCGATGTCAAAAAAAAAAAAACGAAATAGAAAGAATGTAGCAAAAGTGTAAAGTAAAAAAATTGTATATATAATGTGTTAAATATTATTTATATACGAAGTAAGGTTTATAAGAATAGTTAGGCTATAATATAGTTTTTAGTGTGTCAAAGTAGGTGTCTTTTTTTTTAAATAGTTTTTATAGCGTAGGTCAAAACTTGATATAATTATATATTTATAGTATTTATATTTGTATTAAATAATTTATCAATTTGAAAATAAACTTAATTAAGTTAATATTTATTGTTTAGGTTTCATTAGATAGGTTTTTATATATGGTTTTTTTGTAAATTTGGGTTTTGTTCATAAATGATGTGGCATTTTTATCTACGGCGTTATCGACTGTGGGAATATATATTAGGAAATATGTGCAATGAATTAATTTTTTGAGCTCCTAATCTATATTTTCCAAGCCTCCTTAAGCCATTCACGTAGGCAGCCGCGTGGGACTCCATTTTTTTATTTTTTGGTCTGTTCATTTTTTGATCTATTTTTATTATTTTTGGGTTGAATTATATTATAATAGGACAGTTTTAAAGCTTCTTAAGCCATCCGCGTAGGCAACCGCATGAGACTCGTTTTTGTTTTTGTTTTTTGGATTGTTCGTTTTTGGATCTATTTTTAACTGTTTTTTGGTTTGAACTTATTAAGTTTTAGGGTTTATCCAACTATTTTGATCTTATTGTTTTCAATAAGCCCAAAAGAAACAAACATAAAAACATTATAAAGAAAAACCCATATAATAATAACTTAAATAAAAAATACATAATAGTTGCATAGTTTGATCCACACACTTGCATGCTTAGTTAGACGCCTTATACCATTCGGCTAAAGTATATTTAGTTGTTCATAATCATCTTATAAGAAATATAGGATTTTAAAAAACACACACGGGATCCACAAAACTACTGATGTGGCGTGTTGTGGAGCTTAGAAACTCTAGTATAATAATATAGATTCACAAATATTTTTATTGTTTGACTTAATAGTTAATATATTTACAAATTATTCCATTTTTAAAATGATCAATAAATCTCTGTTATAAATAATATCGAATGTTTTCTATAAATGTATTATTCACCTACTTATATGAAGAAAATAAACCAATTATTGTGATTGTATCTAAATGTTGATATATTTAATTTTGGTATATATAAAAGTCGCTAATTGTTCATATTAGAATTTGGGAGAAAGTTCTTAGATGATTTGAAAATTAAAAAGGAAGAAAAATAATCAAAGAAAATTAAGAAGTCAGAAGAAAGAAAAGACAAAACAAGGCGAGAATTTTGATTACCACTAAAAAAAAAAAGACCGCACAGCTGTTTATCTTCTCAGACAAAGCACTTCGTGTGCATCTCACACAGTCATCCTCTCCTCTCTCTCACATTCTTCTCTGTGAAATAAAAGCTCTTAATAAAAGAAAATTTAGCAGCTCGCGAGCTATGGCGTTTCTTCTCCCAAATCTTTCTCCTTCATTTCTTCTTCAAACGGGAAAATCCCTCAAAGAGAAACCCATTTCCACCCATTCTCTTTCCATATCATCTTCTTCTTCCAGTAACTACGACTTCCAAGAAGATACTCTCTCTCTGCTTTCTCTTCCCGTCCAAGCTCCTCCTGCTCCAGGTGCTCAGGTTAAGACCATGCCGAGTGCGCAAGATAACCACCAGAAACAGGGTAAAGACGAGTTCTACATCAATCTCGGTTTAGCTGTGCGTACCCTTCGTGAAGATTTGCCTTTGCTCTTTACCAAAGATCTCAATTACGACATTTACAGGTCTTCCTTTTGAATCCTTAAATGAGTAAAGGATAAACCTTTCAATGAAAAAATATAGAAATATAGATGTTTTTGCTGTTGGGTTTCAGGGATGATATAACATTGGTGGATCCAGTGAACACTTTCTCTGGGATTGACAACTACAAACTCATCTTCTGGGCACTCAGGTTTCATGGGAAGATTCTCTTCAGAGACATCTCGCTTGAGATTTTCAGGGTTTGGCAACCATCAGAGAACATGATTCTCATCAGGTGGAATCTCAAAGGTGTTCCTAGAGTTCCATGGGAGGCCAAAGGGGAGTTTCAGGGAACTTCTCGCTATAAACTTGACCGTAATGGCAAAATCTATGAGCACAAAGTTGATAACTTGGCTTTCAACTTCCCTCACCAGCTCAAACCTGCCATTTCTGTTTTGGATTTGGTCACTGCAACTCCCAATCCAACTTTCATGTTTGGCTCTTCATACTCGTCTTCTTGGATTGAGTTCTATCAAGCTGTGCAAAGGACACTAGACAAGCAACAAGAGCAAATCCTTGTGCAAGACCGTTTTGTCATATGTTCGTAGAGCCATTCATTGGGTGGGTCACACTCAGCTGTGTATATATACTGTTGCATCGACGATAATATATATGTAGTGTGCAGGCATATGTAGATGTGGTTTACTTAGGGCAAACCTGTGTAACCCATGAGCTTGTACAACTTTGCCTTTCGAATGTAAACAGAATTCATTATAGTTATTGTATGTTAGAACACTCAAATTAAACAAATTTCGAATAAAAACATATATCTATATGTTCAAAGTTTGGAGCAATCAAAAACAAATAACACTCTATGCTCAAGTAGATGATATCCTTTACGAAGAGGTTGAAACCGCAGTGAGATCTCCAGGATTTGATGGGGACTCAACAAATGTCCGAGAAGGAGACCTGAAGTTTCAGACAAGTGAATAAAAACATATCAGACAATACAAATCAGAAGCCATCTATGCTATTGTAAAAGATGAAAGAACGGTGATGATAGATGCATTATAATGCTTGTGTTGTCAAAGATTACATTCTTTATCCAAGATTATTAACAGTTTCGAGTGAGGATTCTACAAATGACGAGAGGAGTCATATCATATATGACCATTTAGGACACTCACCTCGAGGTTACAACACCTTCAATCCTAGTCGCGGTAAGGTGTGAGATCGATCTGGAATCGCTGCTTCCCTTTTGTGACCCTCTACAAAAAAAAAAAAGAATCAAGATCTGGCAATTGCTAATGTTGTATAAAAAGACATGTATTTAAAGCAACAAATGGAACGATATAGCAATGATCCATGGACCGAAAAGACTTACAGCAATCGCAATGAGCTCCTCTAGGAGTTCTTCTAAATGACGCAAAGGCTTTGAACCACGAAAAAACATAAGAATATTCAAATCATTTTCAAGAACAAGAGGGATAATTGATGTTGAAGTGAGAATGAACTCATGCCATTAGTATGGACATAAAACTTACCCATTGAGTTGGACCATCAACTGGAGCACTTAGAGGATCATCATGAACCTGATCATAAACAAATTCAGAATCAAGGATTATACGACCAAATAATCCAATGCACTTGATCAACTGTCTAATAGGATGTGGAACAAACAAGTTATCCTACCTCCATAAAAATTCCATCGACGCCAACTGCAACAGCTGTTCTGGCAATGCAGGGTATTAACTCCCGAAGGCCTCCACTAGCAACACCACCACCTTCCAACTGCAAAAGAATGTATTGTTTTTTCATTCGAAGTATTTGGATATCATTGGCTTCTCAATGAAAATAGCTGTTTTCAAACAGTACCATACCTTTTTGCCTGCAGGTTGTTGTAGTGCATGGGTTATATCAGCAACCTGAAACAGTAATTAAAACGAGTTGAGTTAAATTATATATTGAACAATGTGCAGTATTAAAGAACGCACAATGTGAGAGGGAAAAAAAAAAGATGAAGCAAGGTTTACATACAACAGGACAGTTAGCTTCCCTCATCCATTCAAAGTTTCGTGGATCTACTATCAAATCATCTGATCATCAAAACCAAGCTGAGTCAGTCAGACAATTGGAAAGACTTATCAAATCACTGTTTCAGCACCCTTTGATTTATAACTTTATCAATCCATTTTATAAGTCCTAAATTACTGGCATGAGATTTGAGAATGTCTACTTGTTTATTTACATTGCTAAATTCTTAAAAACAAAGAGCATCCTAAAGCCTGCTACCGACATTCAATATCTAAACAGGAGATGAAAACTTACTGTATCCAAACATGGTTCCTCTTTCACAAACCATCACATTCGGATTTCCAGCCAATCTGACTTTCTCGGCCGAATTTTCCATCACCTAAAGATTTCATCATATAAAGAATACAATCATCAAAATATTCCTAGAAAGTTTTTTACCAGCTCGAAAAGCATAAGAAGAAATAACTCACAGAAGGAGCACAAAACTGTCCTTTCTTAATATTGATAATTTTTCCGGTTTGGGCCGCCGCAACCAGAAGGTCTGTCTGTAGAATTATAATTGTATAACATATCCAAGATTAGAAGTCTAAAAGCTACAAAAAGAAGCCTTGAATAATAAAGAGTTTAGAGTCGTGCCTGGCGACATAAGAATGCTGGTATCTGAATTATATCTGCAACCTTGCCAACTTCTTCACACTATATTAAATAAATAAACAAAGCATCAGAAGGTACCAAAGACTTGCTGAAACTCAATTCTCTGAGGTGAATACGTTTCATTATATACCTGATACGCCTCATGAACATCAGTTACAATTGGTAGGTCATATGCTAATTTCACCTTCTCAAGAATCTGCATAAATGTGACCATAAGGCTATTGTTAAGTAAATGGTAAGAATGTAGGTGAAAAGTAATGTAGCTGCTGGAAATTACAAGGGAGATGAAAAGCAAAAAGAGAGGAAAGATAACCTTGAGACCCTCAGCCATGCCAGGACCCCGGAAGGACTTTGAGGAAGTTCTGTTAGCTTTATCAAAACTTGACTTGAAAACCAGTGGCAACCCAACTCTACGCCATTTACAAACACACATAAAGAACGGTAAGTAACTTGAGAAAGCATACTACAATGTTTAAAATGTGAATAAGTTCATCTCTCAAGAAATATAAATTATGTGAGATCTATAGACATTAATACACAAAGATCTCTCTCAGACAAAAAAAACGAAGGTAATGATGCTATAAACAGACACAAGAAGCTGTTTTGGTAATGCCCAAGAACAAAAGAAGCATACTTTGTGGCAATGTGTTTGATGTGCTTTGCCATTCGAAGAATATGTTCCTCGGATTCGATCACATTTGGACCAGCCAACAAGAAAAATGGTTCAGCATCCTAATACACAGTTAAAAATCAAACTCAAATCTCACAATTCAAAATTAATAAAAAGCGAAAATGGGCGAGAGAGATTTACAAAACCTTGAGCTGATTGTAGAGTGGTGATGTTGCCGCCATTCTTCTCGGGAAAACAATAGCTGTAAACTGTTGGAAACAAATCAGAATCAAATCTGAAAACCCTAATTCGATCACGCAAGAAAGAAAAGGAAGGTTGTGGGATCTGACCTTTTAACTTGATCTCGAAGTTGCAGAGTGAGAGTGAAGGCAAGTGAGATCGCTTCTCGCCTTTTAACGCGTGGAAGATATTTCCTTCAAATTTATACGCTAATTTCTTTTTTATTATATAAATTTCAAGGAAATATTATAAGCATTTTTAGGGCTTCACTTACTCTATTTTCAATACTAAAATAGAATTTAGAATAAAATTACTTCAATGGTACTCTATTTTTCACTCTATAATTAGAACAAAAAATAGATTTATTCCAAATATATATTAACTTATTTCTTTTGTTCGCTACTCTATTTTTAATTCTAAAATAGAGTTCCACAAGAGCAAACAACCAATCATATTTTAGTGTTACTCTATTTTAGAAAAAAAAATAGTGTAAATCATTGGAGATGAACTTACAATTGACACTGTTTTAACCAACACTGTTTTAGACCGTTTTATGAAAACTACTGATTTTATATGCACAATGCCAAAAAAATTATAAAAGTATTTTTTTCATTAGTCTATAACTGTTAATATATATTTTCTCTCAAAATCGAATCTCTTAGTCTATAAATTATTAAATGAAACTTAACCAAATTTAGATTATCATTTAGAATTAAGAGTTGTAGAATACCTATATAATAAATGATATATATCTGAATTAAAAGACATCTCACTGATTACTATAATTTATAGGCGTAAAAATAATTTTCCATTACATTTTCAGACAAGTATTAACAGTGAGAGACATGAAGCATAAGCACAACTAGAGAACAAATGTCATAACTTTTATTGTCTTTAAAACGACTTGGATGACATGATTGGTTTGGGAGGTGACAAAGACCTAAGCTCAGGAGCAGAGCTTGGGAACATAACATTCAACTTATGCATCAATATATCAGCTCGAGACGGTATCTCGTTCAGAAGAAACTGCTGCACGATGGGTTTCTTGAACCATTCCATCACCGAGTCTCCCGGTGCCCTCAACACCACTTTGCTGACCTCAAACGGAGACTCAACCGAGCTCAGCATCTGAGCAATCACAATCTTCAACGTCGGTCCTGTCACTAGCTTTATACGTCTCGGGACAACACCGTAGTAAAGCATTCGTTTTCTAAACCTGTGGAGAGTGTGAACCACTGCTATGAGCGCTGCTCCAACCGACAAGTTTCTCACGTCGAGAGACCAAGCAATGTGTTGGTCAAAGACGATGGCTTTAGGGAAGAGTTTGTTCTCATATGCTACTTTCCAGACACACCTAGCTCGGTTTATCTGACCCATTAAGACAAGGTAGTTGAGAAGGACGTTGACAAAGTATCTAGCAGCTCCTTCTTCGAGTTCGTAATCAATCCCTTGGTAAAACTCTCTCACAAACGTCAGAACTGGTTGTTTCCTCTGTTCTGGACCTGTGAAGAGACCACACATAAACGCGTGAGCTTTGTGTTTAGTAGTGCTGAGGATTGACATCAACTGTCTCTCTTTATCTTCGTCTTGGCACCGGACAAGATGAGCGAGAATCGAAGTGTAAAGCACCAAGTCAACTTTTCCAGAAGAATGGACCAGCGTCTCGAGCAAAGGCCTAGCTGAATCGTATAGACCATTCTTCATGCATGATTCAAACAACTGCCTGATGATGAAGTTGTTTGTTTTGATCCCTGAAGAGCCCATGAACCTAAGCCACTTCAAAGCAAGATCAACAGAAGCATCTTTGATATATATCATCAGAACATCGCTAGCGCAGACATCTACAGAATACCCCATTGCTTTCATCTCGAGTAGTATCTTCCCTGCAACATCAACAAGTCTTTTGTTGGCGAGAAGTGTAAGAAGAGAGATATAACTGCTCAGGCCAGGTCTTAACCCAGCGTTAGTCATGGAGTTATAGATCTTCATTGCAGAGTCTACTTGCCCAGAACCAGCGTGCATCTCTAAAAGACACGAGTACGTAGATGGTGTTGGTAAAAACCCAGCTTTCTCCATGTCTTTGAACACCGACATTGCTACTTCAAGCTTTCCTGACTTTGCATGAGACTCAATGATCATTGTGTACAATCCAAAGTTAGGTCTGAAACCTGAACTCTTCATCTCATCCCAAAGCCTAAGAGCAGTATCCAGCTTCCCCGCTTTAGCATACGAATCAATCAAAGAAACAAACATAGTCGCTGATGGCCTATGACCAAACCCCTGCATCTCCATATAAACCTTCATCGACGTGTCTAACCTCCCAGCTTTCCCCATTGAATCAACAAGCGAAGCAAACACACCAAAGCTCGGTCGAATCTTCCTCTCCTTCATCTGCTGAAACAGCTTAAAAGCAGCATCAAGACGCCCAGACTTAGCCAAACTAGGAATAATCAGCTCATAAGTCGACCCATCAAGCAAAGAATCAGTCTTCTCCATACACTCATAAATCTCAAACGCCTTATACGGCAAACCTTTATTCAAAAACAACATCATCAGACTATTATACGTCACCGTATCAATCTTACACCCACAATCCTGAGCCTTCTTGAAACAACAGAACGCAACCTCCAATTTCTCAGCTTTAGCCAAATACTGAATCACTTTATTATAAGCACCAAGCGAGCTACTACTATCCTGAACCATCTCCTCAAATAGCTTCTGAATCCCATCAAAATCCTTCCCCTTATTCAACCCATCAAACAAAACAACGTAACACTCATCACAAGAAACATACCAACTCTGCTTCTTCACCCACCTGAACAAACTCAACGCAGCATCAACATCTTCAACGATCTTCAACGCTTGCTTGACGTGAACCATGTTGGGTAAAAACTGGAGCTTGTCGAGATGGGTCTCTAGCTCAGGTCCCCATTTCCACCTCTGCACGACTTCGACGATCTTGGAGACGGCGGAGGCGTTTAGGAGAGGCTTCTTTAAGGTGCCGACCATTGTGTGGTCGTCGACGCCTGGGGTAACGGATCTGATTCCTTTGCCGCTGTGTATTAAGCTGCCGGATTCGTCTAGATACTCTATCTCCTCGGTCCAGACATTGGTTTTGCTCTCGTCGGTACAGAGTCTCCTGTAAAGGCTCGGGCTTTGTTTTGTTATGGTGTTTCTTGATACAGAGGAGATTGTGAAGTTACGGAATAAGAGGATGGTGAGGGGGTGAGTGGCGGGTAAGCTAGGGTTTGGTGGAGTGGCGGAGATACTTCGATTAAGTGTGGAAATGACATTTTTGGGGATTGCTTTTTCGATTCTTCTTAGACGGATCATTGAAGAGGATGTAGATGGGTGTGTTTTATTGGGTCATGTAATGTGAATTGGGAATTGAAAGAATCGATCCTAACCTGGTCTCCAGAGATGGCGGTTTCTTCGTATCTTTCCTCCTTGGCTAAAACCCTAGAAAGTCTGAGACTTTAGAAGCAGGGGTTTGGTTTGCTCAACGTGGATACAGTCCAAAGCAGGGGATCCTCAACGTTTATAAACTAAACAAATAATTCCAGTTTTTTCCAAAAAAATATTACTAAATATAACAAATTAAATTGCTATGTGTTTTGTAGGAAAAAAACTATATATTATACATTATGTATACTGTACGAAGTAATCTTTTGGAAAACATAAATCTATATATAATAGCAAACTGAAAGTGACATCAGCATTTTTTTTTCTAGGAAAAAAAAATTTAATCCAAGGGTCATAGTTAATTTGATTTTAAGATCTAATAGACTCAAAAAAACTCTTTCATATGATTGATGATGTCATCAAATATTTGACAACTCTTCATTGAAAAGGCATATATTTCATTTTAATAGTCACAATCATATTTTCCATACATTTTCATAAATTTAAATATTAATATTGACTTTTTAGAAGATAATATTTGTATGTGTCGTGACCCAAGATGTATGAACATATCGTGATCCAAGAGGTACGAACGTGTCGTGACCCAAGAGTTACGAATGTGTCGTGATCCAAGAGGTGTAAACGTGTAGTTACCGAAAGGGTGTGAACGTGTCGGGACCGAAAGGATGCGAACGTGTCAGAACCGAAAGGGTGCGAACGTATCGGGACCAAAAGGGTGCGAACGTGTCGGTACCGAAAGGGTGCGAATATGTCGGGACCGAAAGGGTGCGAATATGTCGGGACCGAAAGGGTGCGAACATGTCGAGGCCGAAAGGGTGCGAACGGTTCGGGGCCGAAAGGGTGCGAACGGTTCGGGGCCGAAAGGGTGCGAACGGTTCGGGACCGAAAGGGTGCGAACGGTTCGGGACCGAAAGGGTGCGAACGGTTCGGGACCGAAAGGGTGCGAACGGTTCGGGACCGAAAGGGTGCGAACGGTTCGGGACCGAAAGGGTGCGAACGGTTCGGGACCGAAAGGGTGCGAATGGTTCGGGACCGAAAGGGTGCGAACGTTTCGGGACCGAAAGGGTGCGAACTGTTCGGGACCGAAAGGGTGCGAACGGTTCAGGACCGACTGCGAACGGTTCGAGACCGAAAGAGTGCAAATGGTTCGGGACCGAAAGGGTGCGAACTGGTTCAGGACCGAAAGGGTGTGAACGGTTCGGGACCGAAAGAGTGCAAACGGTTTGGCCTCGCAAGGGTGCAAATGGTTCGGGACCGAAAGGGTGCAAAGGGTTCGGCACCGAAAGGGTGCGAATGATTCGGCACCGAAAGGGTGCGAATGGTTCGGCACCGAAAGGGTGCGAATGGTTCGGCATCGAAAGGGTGCGAATGGTTTGGGATCGAAAATGTGCAAATGTACCATCACCAAAAAGGTGCGAATGTAACATCACCGAAAGGGTACAAATAGAACGTCACCGAAAGGATGCGAATGTAACATCACCAAAAGGGTGAGAATGTAACGTCACCAAGAAGGTGTGAATATAACATCACCGAAAGGGTGCGAACATAATGTTACCAAAAGTGAGCGAACATATTGTTCATGGTCGAGTGCTATGAACATATGAAACAGCCTTAAGGTTGTATATGAGTGGTAAACATATTGATCCATGATATGGATCGATGGCTCAAAAAGAAGTGTATATGAAACAGCCTTAAGGTTTTATTGTACCTTGTAATAAGTATAAAATGTATACATTTATATGTATGGTAATGAAAGCACATAGACAATAACATCAAAAAAAAAAAAAATTGAAAAATGGAAAGACATGACTCCTGATGGTAAATACTACACACCTATAGAAATGAATATACAATCCAAGGTGTATCGTGTTACACAAATTATGAAACTACTTTATAAAGTTTGTATGCCAAATTTAAATGTAAACCATTTTTAAAATTAAATATAAAAATAATCAGAAAAGGTTAATTATTTATTTGTTTCCTTAAAAAGACACTTTTAATGATATTTAACAAATCATAAAATATTTTTTTTTAAAATACTCAACCTTTCATTATATTTGGCATTCACAACCTTTCACATTAATTGAGATTTTTATTAAGATACACAACTTTTCATTTAATTTGGCATCAGAACCTTTAGAATTAATTGAGATTTTTGTTAAGATACACAGCCTTTCATTTTATTTATTAAGAAACACAAATTTTCATTTTAATTTTTTAAAGAGACACAACTTTCCATTTTATTTTGTATTTACAACATCTCACATTAATTGATATTTTTATTAAGAATTACAACTTTTCATGTTATTTGGCATTCACAACCTCTGGAATTAATTGAGATTTTTATTAAGATACACAACTGTAGAACTAATTGGTAATTTTATTAAGACACCCAACTTTTCATTTTACTAGTTGCATACTCTCCGCGCAAGCGCGGGGCTGGGATCATTGTGTTTGCAATATTTTTTCGATTGTTGGTTTAGTGGATTCTTCTAATAACACCAAATAATAATGAAATTGAAAGAATGTAGTAAGAATGTAAAGTGAAAATATTGTATATATAATGTGTTAAATATTATTTATATGTGAAGTAAGGTTTATAGGAATAGTTAGGCTATAATATAGTTTTTAGTGTGTAAAAGTAGGTGTCTATTTTTATTTTTTTTGCTGTAAATAGTTTTTATATCGTAGGTCAAACTTGATATAATTCTATATTTATAGTATTTATATTTGTATTAAACGATTTATCAATTTGAAAATAACCTTAATTAAGTTAATATTCGTTGTTTAAGTTTCATTAGATAGGTTTTTATATATGGTTTTTTGTAATTTTGGGTTTTATTCATAAATGATGTGGCATTTTTATCTACGGCGTCATCGACTATGGGAATCCATTCGCCAGAGTCAGGAGTTAATGGTGAGGAATGTTTTCAATGAAATTATAGTAGTTATTAAAATGTAAGAGAAATTACATATTCATTTAATAAATAACAAAAAATACTTAATATTTGTTTTTATTTTATTTTATTTCACATACAATTTTTTTNAATGATGTGGCATTTTTATCTACGGCGTCATCGACTATGGGAATCCATTCGCCAGAGTCAGGAGTTAATGGTGAGGAATGTTTTCAATGAAATTATAGTAGTTATTAAAATGTAAGAGAAATTACATATTCATTTAATAAATAACAAAAAATACTTAATATTTGTTTTTATTTTATTTTATTTCACATACAATTTTTTTGAAAATATATTAGGAATGTGTTAAATGTTATTCATATACGAAATAAGGTTTATAGTAATAGTTAGACTATAATATAGTTTTTAGTGTGTAAACGTAGGTGTTTTCTTTTTGCTGTAAATATTTTTTTTATATTGTAGGTCAAAACTTGGTATAATTCTATATTTATAGTATTTATATTTGTATTAAACGATTTATCAATTTGAAAATAACCTTAATTAAGTTATTATTTGTTGTTTAGGTTTCATTAGATAGATTTTTATATATGGTTTTTTTGTAAGTTTGAGTTTTGTTCATAAATGATGTGGCATTTTTATCTACGGCGTCATCGACTGTGGGAATCCATTCGCCAGGGTCTGGAATCGGTGGTGAGGAATGTTTTCAATGAAATTATAGTAGTTATTAAAATGTAAGAGAAATTACATATTCATTTAATAAATAACAAAAAATAATTAAATTTTGTTGTTTTTTTAATTTTATCTCACATACAATTTTTTTGAAAATATATATTAGGAAATCTGTGCAAAGATTAAATTTTTGAGCTCTTAATCTATATTATTCCAGCTTCATTAAGCCATCCACGTAGGCAGCCGCATGTCTTTTTTTTTTTTTTGGTCTGTTCGTTTTTGGATCCATTTTTTTATTATTTTTGGGTTGAGCTATACTATAATAGGATAGTTTTAAGGTTCTTTAAGCCATCCGCGTATGCAACCGCGTGAGACTTTTTTTTTTTATTGTTCATTTTTGGATCTATTTTTAACTATTTTGGGTTTGAATTTGTTAAACTTTAGGGTTTATCGAAGATCTTTAAAATAATAAGCCCAAAAAATACATAAAAACTTTATAAATAAAAAGCCCATTTGATAATAACCCAAGTCAAAAAATCAAAAATACATGATAGCTACGTGGTTTGAACCCACGATCTTGCATGCTTAATTGGACACATTATACCACTTGGCTAAAGTGTATTTCATTGTTCATAATCATCTTACTAAGTCTATAGGTTTTAAAACAATACCTACGGGCCCCACAAAACTGCTGACGTGGCGCGTTGTAGAGTCTAAAAACTCTACTATTATTATATAGATTTTATTAAGAGACACAACTTTTCATTTTATTTTATTAAGAGACACAACTTTTCATTTTACTTATTAAGAGAAACAACTTTCATTTTATTTTACGTTTACAACATTTCACATTAATTGATATTTTTATTAAGAGTCACAACCTTTCATCTTGATTGACATTCATAATTTTTAGAATTAATTGAGATTTTTTTTATTAAGATAAACAATTTTTATTTTATTTGACATTCACAACCTTTAGAATTAGTTGTGATTTTTATTAAGAGACAAACTTTCATTTTATTTACTAAGAGACACAATCTTTCATTTATTTCTCTAAATAGACACAACTTTTCATTTTATTTTGTATTTTCAACATTTCACACTAATAGACATTTTTATTACGAGTCTCAATTTTTCTTTTTATTTGGCATTCACAACCTTTGAAATTAATCAAGATTGTTTTAATTAGTAGATTTTTATTACGAGAAGACACAACTCTTAGAACTATTTTAAATATTTTTAAATTATTTTTTCTGAGACACAATTGTTTTTATAATGAAAAGATGCAACTTTTAAACTAATATATTTCAGTTCTTATGAAGAGATACAACCTTTCAACAATTGTTATATGAGAAGACAAAACTCTTACAACCTCTTTTAAATACTTTTAAACTATTTTTTCTGAGACACAAACTTTTTTTATAATGAAAAGATGCAATTTTTAAAATAATATTTTTTTATATAAATCTACAATTCTGTTTATAATAAAAAGATGCAACTTTTAAACTAATATATTTCAGTTCTTATGAAAAGATACAACCTTTCAACAATTGATTTTTTCATCTAATGGTCCAAATAATTTTTTATGCAACTTTTATAATAATAGATTTATTTTTTGAATACACAATTATTTTTATAATGAAAAGATGCAATGTTTAAACTAATATATTTCAGTTTTTTTGTGAAAAGATACAACCTTTCAACAATTGTTATTATGAGATTTTAAATACTTTTAAACTATTTTATCTGAAACATAAACTTTTTTAAAATTGAAAAGATGCAACTTTTAAAATAATAGATAACTTTTTATGAAACTACACAATTCTATTTATAATAAAAAGATGCAACTTTTAAACTAATATATTTCGGTTCTTATGAAAAGATACAACCTTTCAACAATTGTTTTTTTTCTTTTGAAAATACACAATTATTTTTATAATGAAATATGAAACTTTTAAACTAATATATTTCAGTTTATTATGAAAAGATACAATTTTCAACCATTGTTTTGTTTTTCATGCAATTGTCCTAAGAAATGTTTTTTAGACATAAGATATTTATGGCATTAACATATATTTTTCAAACAACACATCTTTTTCCGTGAAAGAGTCATACGTTTTCATATTTGAAGGATTACAATCTTTAGTTATAATTGTTTTTTTTTCTTCTATTGGTCTTAATAATTTTTGTACACTTGCTATGAGCAGTTATATTTTTCAAACAACACAGCTCTTTAATCTGAAGAGTCATACTTTTCCCTAATTCTTGATTTTTTAAATTTTTTTTTAAGAGTTTCAATCTGGTGGTTGTAATTGGTATGGTTCTATCTAATGGTTCTGAAAATGTATTTGGTTGAACTTTTTTTTCCTTGCAACTCTTGAAAATATTCATTTTAAAACAAAACACAACTCTTGATAATCTATCAATGTACCTTTTCAGATTACTATAAATAGAACATTTTATAGATGTAATTTTTTAAGAAAATTTATGTGTTTTTTTTCTAATATAGGTATGATTCTTAGTACTCTTGAATATAATGTTTGATTCATTATATAGTTCTAAACGATCTTTAAAAATTTAATGTGATGTCTACAAAAAATAAGTTAATAGGTTTAATTTCAGTGAAACTAAACTACCATATCCAAACCAATCTGGCTATAAGAAAACAACCTATATTTTTTTTGTAATCTCTTATTCTTCTTATGATAAAGTACATTACTTTTATATTTTTCTAACCCAGTTTGTCTGGAGTTACTAAGTCTCATTGTTTTTTAAAATGACGTTCTTTGCATGTTAATTACAGTGTTTTAAAACATATTATATTATTTAATCTGAAAATTTATAAATTGTTCCATCAGTTCAACAAATTTTAGAAGTTTGTTTTTTCATATATAAAAATATAAAAGAAAATGACTGCGACTTTAATATTAAAGTTTACTTTATATTGTTATGCTAAACACATAGCACTTAAATTTACACATTTTCAAACACAAATTATACTTTCACTCTTCTATTATATAAGATTATTTTTGTTTTGATCTTTATACAAAATAATTAGTTTATTAAATGATTCAAAATGATTAATTAACAAATATAATTTATAAAACCTTTCTCCCGCGCGTTCACGCGCGGGGTGGTTTCCTAGTTACGGTAATAACAATCAAAAAGGAAATAACGTGTAACTTTTAACTAATTGATTCACATTATTTTTGCTAAACACCATTAATAATAGGCTATGATCTTACCAAAGTTATATGCAAAACAAAATAAAATGTTGTTGTCAACAACATTTGATAATATAGGTACTTATTATATACTTCTTATCCCTAAGTTATTTATTTTGTTAGCTCCCAGCCAAAAATTAAGCCTATAAATGAAGAAGGGAACAAGCGTGATTGCCTTGAGAACTCTTCTCGTCAACCTCCAGGACTTCTGTTCCACGAAAGGTATGAAGGATCTCCAAGTTGCCTGAAACGCATAAAACAACAATATCATCTCACTGTACACAATCTACAATCTCTTCATTGAGAAAATATAACAAAGTCTTAACCAAAAGGATCATGAAGAAGACTAATCATGAGAAAGTACCTTGGCTTAACTAGATACAATACAGAGAATGTAACGGCTAGGAACAAGCAGATGCTTCCCACAGTCAGGTAAGCAACCCCGAGGAAATCATTCCGTCCACCTAGCCAGCTAGTTGTTGATAGCACGAGCTTCTTCTCACCATTGAAGCTGTAAGTGTTGTAGTTGTTCTCCAACAAGACCATTATGGTGTCCCCTGCGTTCAGGTCCGTTTCGATCTTCCCATACAACTTCCTAAATATAGGCAAAGCCGCGGTTCTCATCCAGACTATCAGGTCTTCTTGCTCACTCAACTGTACAAACAAAGAACACTCTTACAACTGTTAACATCCCATTCAAAAAAAAATCTAAAGTGATCATAACTGCATCTGGACACAACCAGTTGAAACATTCGTTTTAGTTCCTAATATTGTTGAATATTATTTTTATATTAAGATTAATAATATAAAAATGTTTATGACACGTAAATCTCAGATCCGGTCCTGAAAGTGATACTGAATGTTTATTACCGGTTTCTTGGGATCAAGAGTTCCACCACCTATAGGTGCTCCTGTCTGAAAGTTTTTAGGGAAGACATTTTTCCCAAACTTACTGTCTCTGTCACTCTTCCATGAGATATCTTTCTTGTTCACAGGAAGTTGTTGGCTGTTTCTTGAGAATTGGTAAGTATCATTGAACAAACTCCAAGCAACAAGACCACATGGAACAATTGGTTGTCCATCCACGTTATCCTCAGGTGCACAAGTCTGCACATCACGCTCTTCTTTTGGACTTCTTAGTTGTGCATCGTTTCGGCTTTTCACATACCTACACATTTAATCAACCAGAGACTATGTAACTGATACCAACACATATTCATGACGTGACAACCTCATGAAATGGTTATAAAAGACCAAGAAAAATTAATGGCAGTGAGGTGTGGACAGTACCGTCTATGGTTTTGGTAGTAATTCTCAAGTTGGTAGTATACATAGACAGGATGCTTCATAGTTTTTGTCACCTGAAAAAACAGAGACAAGTTTGTGTAGGAACCATACTTAAGAGAACAGCTAACATATGTATAGCTCTATGGAAGAAGATGTCTACCGTTATTGTTCTGTTACACATTTTATCTCCTTGACCCTGTATGTAAGCGACCTTGTTGGCCCTAGAAGATTCTGGAACACAGTCTGTGTCATACCGATCAACAATCTCAACGACCTTCATGCATGTATGATAATGAAACACATCCTCAATAATCTAGGAAACAAAGATGAGAAAAAGACATAAAACATTGACATACTCCCTGAGAAGCAAATAGGCAGATCACTCCTAGGGGAATGAATACAACCCCAGCAACAAGAAATGTCAAGATCACCTGCAGAACAGAAACGAACATATAGCAAGTGACATTACTTTCATGTGTAACATGACAGTTGCCAATCTAAGAGAATGTGACATAACTAAAATGGGAACTCACCCAGCTTGGAGTAAGAATTGGCTTGCATGCCGGAAGCTCCTGCTGAGTAAATCTTGAATCTGGTAAGGAAAATTTTGGATAACAGAACACTTGTTAAGAACAGAGAGAAATCAAAGCCACCGTATGATTTGGTTTTATGGAGAAATTAGATGGTAAAGTTTACGAGTAAAAGCTACGTTATGTTTCTATCTTTACAATAAAAACATAACAAGAAATTTTCGTCCAGGACGGATAACTTAAGACACAAAGCTGATGAACGGAATACATCCAAGAATCTGAATCAAACATAGAATATACAGTACACATGTAAACATAGATGCTCACATGATACGAAAAATGGTGATCAAAAGTATAGCAATATCATAAAACAAAGAATAAAGTTTCTGTCTACATGATCGTTTTTGCTAGAAAAAAACAAGAAATGCATCAATGTATGTAAGGCATGAAAAGAATGTGAAAATTAGGGGTGATAGATCACATTTTGGACGCTTGGATGATTTCTTTACACCGGAAGGCTCAGCCGATCCTCCTGCACCAGAACTCATTGTCGAACAAAAATCAGAGGAAAATGATCTCCCCTGTAGTTGTACACCAGATTTGTCTTGGCAATTTTGAATAGAAGAAACGATGGAGAAAAAACAGATCCAACTCTAATGGTGACGAAGAATGTTAGGTTAGGTTAGGTTAGGTTAGGTAGGGATGATAAAGAGAGAAATCATTTGTGGAAAGATGAAACTTTTTTTGAGTACTATGCGGAGGAGCCAAAACGTGTTATATAATTTTAAATCTACGTATTTTTGCTGTAAATAGCCTGTCTAGTATACTATCCCAGTAGATTTTGTAGAACTTTTTATTAATGTGGATGACAGTGGATCGTTGGCCCTTCCCTAGCTTCTGAATACACAGTGGTTGTTTTTTTTTTTGTTAAACTCTATGTATACCATTACCATCTTTGGTCTAATAAAGTTTGATAGCCACGTGTTAGAATGAGGAGAATTTGTAAATTTTCGAACACAGTCTTAATGTAGTACAAGGGAAACGTCCTGAAAAATGGGGGATGCTTTGCTTAAGAATTCACGGGCTTCTCTAATCATCTTTTGTGTACTTTCTGTCATATTTTTGCATCTCTGCCATTTCATGATTAAGTAACCGTTTCAAGTGACTGTTTTTGTTTCTTGTGCTACTTAGGGTGAGGAAAATCACGTTCACAGGCGGTTGGGAATTGAAGAAGGTAATGGCAGGTGACAGGTGTTACACCTACTGTCAAGAAGGTAGCTTAAGCAACAATATCATTGTTATTTTAAGACTATTCCAGATCTTGGCGGCAATGCACTATCCATAATGCACTAAATAATAGTTGATGAGTATCAGTAAATGGTAAGTTATAGTCATGAGTATTAAGGCATTGCTTCATCCAAAAGATGCAAAAACGTTGGTCAATCTAGAGAAATTACTCTGAAGTGACGTCCGGTTTATTTTCTAACAAGATGTGTATCGTCTCTTTCTTCTTACGTGGTTACTCGTTTCCAGACTCCACTTATCCGAGCTATTATTAGTTTCAAGCACACTTTTAGTAGTGGTGCACTAAGGGGATATTTTTTTAAACAGTAAGGGGATCTTCGATACTCTAAAACGTTATATTAACCATTTGATCCGTGATTTTGCAGTTTGCAGCGAAATTAAGGAATAGTGGTCAGACATGTGTTTGTGCGAGCAGAGTACTTGTGCAAGATGGCGGCAAGAATGGGTTACGATGTGATCATGTCTTAAGTTCTCAAAGATTCACAGATTGTAGTGTTATAGCTTTTTGTGCGTCTAGAGAATGAACTAGAAACCTTTACTTTTCTCTTAGGGAGGAGATTTCTGGACCCGTAGCTGTCCTTATTCGGTTCAAAACCAAGGAGGACGCTGATCAGAATCGCTGATGAAACTATTGCAGTTATGTCCTCATATAATCTGAGTGGCCATTTTCTATACCTAGAGTCCGGGCTTACAATATAAAGGAAATGACGAAATGTGCGTGTTACTTAGGACTTGCTGTCTATAATATATATTCACAAACAGTGTCCAACGATCTTGGCATGTCTCTGAAGCACTTGAATTAATACGGACTTGCAGGGGTGAAAGAAGGACTCATATTAACAGAAGCAAGACCAGAAAATGGAAGAAGCACATTTTCCAAATTATAGCCATACATTCGGGAAAGTGAAGCAGTCTGGTCTTGCTGTTTTGGAAGACAATGATTCATTCAAGTATGGTAACTCAGAACACTCTTTTTTTTCTCTCTCTCTCTCAGATCAACATACACTTCATTTTATGGAATCAACTTGTTCAGAGATTGAATTGATTATAATATTAGAAATCTCACATGAAGATGTAATGAATTGTGCAAGGTTATAGATGGTTACAATGTGTTGTTTATAAATGGATTGGAATATGCATTTCCTTACAACTTGTTTAGGTGAATTTTTTTTGTAATATTCGTACAAGTTTTGCTTTGTATATAGTATACCAAGGAGTATATACTAAAAAGGTAGCGGTATTGTTCTTTTATTACAATTATTAGAAATTCCTACAAGTCGATTTTTTCATCAGTATCTTAATATATATATATATATAAAACACTTATACTTCTCATGTGCCACAGAGTTATAACATTCAGTTAATTTCTGTTTAAAAAAATCTAATACAGATTATCAAAGCTGAGAGATTGATCATCTCTCTTTTCCACAATAAAAATCCTAAAGTTTGGCATAGAGAGATAAGTAGGACAGAAGGAATATATTCATTTCGAAGACGAAATTCGAAAGCATCATAAAAGATGCTTGAGGTTCAAGCAACCATGGCCTCTATTTTCTTTAACCGACTTACTTTATATTCTGATTGATTTTTTTTTGTCAACATATTGTGATTGATTTATTTCTTTTTAATTTAGTTTGCTTCAACAACAATTAGCTAAAGTTAAACATTGGCTTTACCTGGTAATAATAAATGCACTAAAGAAAACTTAGCTTACAAAATAAAAGTTAGCATAAAATCATTATTAAGAACATTAATCAATAACAATAATGTGTGCGTTTCTAAAATTTCGGAACATTCAAGTTAATATATATTTCATGTAACAAATGTAAATGAGGGTGGCCAAGTTTATGCGGTTAATCAACAAAAAAAAGTTATAATACGGTTGGCATCTGTCGCGGGAGTTCTACATTCATTTTTGTTCTAATATTGTTGGCGCAATAAGAATCTATCTTTATTCATCAAGGAGGGGAAGAATTGATTCCAGTTCTCATGCAATTTGAACTTTGATTTATTAATGTAAAAGCTAGAACCATTTTCCCTTTTTTTACGTTGCCAGGATTGTGTGCGATAATTAATTTATTCTACAAACAATTCGATTAATAGCCACAATCTAATGTTTCTGGCAGAGAAAAACATCTGTTTTAACCCAAAAAAACATGTTTCTGTGACCAAAAAATCATTGTTCCTAAATTAGTTCAACTTCTTAATTATACCTGGAAAATGCATTACCATGTATAGCTGCACAATCTTCAGTCCTACAAAAGCCAAAAAGGGTTTCAGCCCCAGCAAGCTTTAGCAACAAAAAATAGAGAAAAGAATAAAACATATGGTAAAAATAAAATAAAGAATAAAAGAGCTTTAATAAGTAGAAGAAGAGGTCCCGACAGTAACACTATCTTTACCACACTGATACATAATTCTCCACATATCACTAGACCATGTATATGCGTAACTTAAAGTTTTGGTTCCATATTCTTACGTTGTTTTCACGCTTTAATTCCACATCCAATCACTAAATATTGGGCTACATTGAACATTTCTAATTTTCCCTTCATACTTCATACAAAAACTATAATATATTTAAAATTTTTGATCAAATGCAAACTCTATATTCTTGGATCACATGCTCTCTTTTTGTGTGTGCATATCATTCTCAGCTATATTCATTGACTTATTCGTGTTCTATGTAAATATGCCATAGGACCTCCCACTTATATAAATACTAGATTGACCGACCATTGTACATATATGTATATATTAAAACAATATATTTAATATATTTTAGCATATTTTAAAATATTTGAAAACAGTTTTAACGTTCACATCAGAAAGTGCATACATATTACAAGCATCTTCCATAATATATAACCCAATTTATATGTGTATTTAGCAAACTCGTATACCTTCACAAAATCAGTATAGGAATTGGATGTACAGTTTGCCTACTATTAAATTTATTTTAAATTAAAATTTTCAAAATATTTTAAAGTAATTCGAGACAGAATTACTTCATGTACACGTATAATTCAATGCCCTAACAGACATTTTATATTGGAATTAATCCAAAGTACTATAGCTTGACTCACTCTCCCGAGCGGATGTATATTTTTACTAATTTATATATTAAATAAATAAATTAATTATATTTTAAATTTTTAATGAATAAAATTTTATATGTATATTTTGATTATGGTTTTGATCTATGTATGTATTAATATTTGTAAGAACATAAAAGTGTGAGAATCATTATTTTGATTATGATTTTTAATTCGTATATATTTTTATCATGTTTCTGACCTGTTTATTTTATCTAAATAGAGCTTAAAAGTAAGATTATAAATACATAATCGTAAATGCTATAACTGATTTAATATATGTATAGCATTTTATTTATATTGTGTGTGTAATAATATTAAATCAGTTATAGCATTTTATTTATAGATAAACTAAATTATAAAAAAAAATATTTTCCTCTCTATTAAAAGGAAAGAACATGAATTTTTAACAAATGATTCCATTTTTAATAGTATAAAAATATTCGTAAATATTGTGTGTGTAATAATAATTTGTTAAGAACATAAATAGTGTTACTCGATGCAAACAATTAACAATAACTCTTCAGACAACACAAATAAAGCAGATAAATAAATTTTTATTTTAAATTTGATAAACAGTTATAGTGGTATATATAATATATTATATTGATGAGAATATTTTTTTTCAGAACAAAGTAAAAAAGAAGAAGAATAACTTTAGAGGAAACGATTATAGACACTAACTAGATTTTGAACCCGCACATCCGTGCGGGTAATTTTTCATTTTATAAAAATATAACAAAATCTTTCAGATATATCATTTACATTTTATTTTTATATTGTATAACTATAGAATCTTATTATTTTAATTATTTTATATAATATATTGTTGTCATTTTTTAAAAATATCAAATATATTTTTTTAGATAATGTATTTGTT